AAAAAAAAAAAAAAAAAAAAAAAAAAAAAAATTTTTTTCTTTTTTATTATTATTATTATTATTATTTGACTATTAATTAAGTTATTTCCTGGTAATTATATATATATATATATATATAATATTAATGAAATTTGATTATAATATAGAAATTAAAAAAATAAAAAAAAAAATAAAAAAAACCGAGAGATGAATGTTGTTACCATTTGCCAATTTATTGGTATCTGTAACGGAAAAAAAAACTTAACGAGGACGAGGTCCCCAAGTGATTGTGTGTCCTTCTCCGCAATAAGCCGTACCAAAAGATGGAAAATCTTCAATTGAAGCAGTATCCGGACGTCTTTGAGCCTGTTGCTGCTGCTGTTGCTGTTGTTGTTGTTGTTGTTGTTGTTCCCAAGGTCCTCCTCTTACTACGAAACCATCACCGCTCCCGTCACCTTGCCCTCGCTCTTCTCCCAACGAAAGCTGATATTGTTGCGGTCTTTGCAAATATTCGGCTGGAGGCAAATCGCTTAACTGAAATTAACAAAAAAAAAAATTTATTTATTCTCGAAATGTGTGACCTCGAGAAACCTCTTAAAATGTGAAACGTGGCTCACATAATTATCAGCTAAATTGAGAATTTCTTCCTTCGCATCCCAAACGTTGTCTTCGGAACCGATGATAGTAACCAAATTGGGATTCGAATCTCCCTGTCTTGGAAATTTAATTTCGACTTGATATTTATCCATGAGCTTACGAATAGATCTTCCTTTTTGTCCGATGAGACGAGAATGAACGCGACTATCGACTTCTATTTCTTCTTTAGTTCTTTCTTTCTGTAAATTAATTTAAAAAAAAAAAAAAAAAAAATTAAGGGCGATTCAGAAAAAAAAAACGGTTTTTTTTTTTTTTGGAAAATTTAAAGCAAATTTTACCAATTCATTAACGATTTTCAAAATGTGATCCCGGGCAGCAATCGCTTTTTCCTCGTAACCTTGAATCGTTATAATATGCTCTTCGGGATCTCCCCTTTTCGGAAGAGTGATTTGAACTCCGTAATTACTACGAATTTCCGATATAACGGCTCCTTTTTTCCCAATAATTTTCGGATGAAATTCGGGATCCACGTTTACCTGAAAGAAAAATTAAATCATTTACTCCTCGGCTCAATTTAATTAAAAACAAATCGATGGTTATATATATAAAAAAAAAAATCTCCCGGAAAAATTCAGGAGGACGTTTTAGCAAACACTCACAGACAGCGAAAAAGATTTCAATTGTCGATCTTGCTTATCCTTTTCCAGTTGCCTCACGCGTTCTTCTAAAGCCTCTTTGGCTTTTTCCACATTAGCTGGAGCTCCCGATATTTTAATGCAATCAAGTTTTTGGTCGGCTGGAGACAGAACAATATGAACGTCAAAATCATCCATCAGTTGACGAACGCTTCCCCCGGATTTTCCTATGATCGAACGGTGAAGATCAAAAGCCACGGGCACCTGATTGATTATTTTTCAATGGGGAAAAAAAAAAAATTTTATTAAATTCAATTACAAACAATTCAAACGCAAAAGAGTTCCCAAATGGAAATTTTTTTTTTTACCTCGACGGTCACGGGCACCAATTTTTCCAGGGCTTCTTTCGCGGCTTGACAATTTTCCGGCTGACCCGTGATTTTTATTATGTCGCAAGGTTTCACAACTTCTCCGTTTACTGCACCGTTTTCTTCTTTGTTATTATAATCTTCCGCTGGTGACAAACAACAAAATGATTGATTAATTTTCTTAAACGCTTCGCGTGAAATTTTTTTCATTTATTTTTTATTTTTACCTTGAAGATCTCGTTCTGGAAATTTTATTTGAACTTTATAATCGTAAGTTATATTTTGCACTTTTGTCCCTTTCGAGCCCATCACCGTCCGATGGTGTTTTTGAGGTATGACACATTCAATAGTAACCATTGATTCTAATTCTTTGACAATGTTTTCAATTTTTGCTTTTGCCATTTCGATGCTTTCCTTAAAACCTTTCAAAGTGACCTAAAAAAAAAAAAAAAAAAAATTGTAAAATTTAGCATTAAACTCAAAACTGTAGAATTATTCCCCCCCCACTCCCCTCCTCAATGGTGATAACCTACTTTATCAGATTCGCAGTTTGGACGTGGAAAAGAAATCGTTACTGTTCCACCGCATTCGTTGGTGATTTGTTGAATAACTTCCCCTCTGCGTGACACGAAATGTTTATGATGAACGGGATTTACTGTCATTTCCGCTTCCGTTAAGTTATCTATTTCTTTGATTGTTTTTTCCAATTCTAATTTAGCTTTTTCTATTTGTTCTTTTCTTCCGATTATGATAATCGTTTCTTTATCTTCATCTTTTTCCGAGGGGAAAACAATTCTTGCTCCCGTAGAATCTCTAATCTGCAAAATTGAAAAAATATTAATAAACAAACTTTACCTTTCGAAAAAAAAAAAATTACTCACATAAATATTTTTTTTATTAAACCCACTTTTTTAATTTTGGCACCATTTTTCCCTATTAAAAATTTATGATGTTGCGGTTTCGCTTTGATTTCTACCGTATAACTAGCGGCTTCTCTTTCATTTTTCAAAGCCTCTAGTTGCTGCTTAGCTTTTTCAACGTCTTCTTTGGGTCCTTTGATAGAAACCTACCACCAAAAAAAAAAAAAAAAAAAAATGTTAATATTTATCCAATTTTTTCATTGAACCAAAATAAAGTTTACAAAAAAATGCATGCGAGTCCAACTGTATAAGCGGAGTCAGTTGTACCAACCTTATCGCTTCTACTCTCGGAAGTTGGAAATTTTATTTGAACTCCTCCGCATTCTTCACTAATTGAATGAACTAATTTTCCACCCGGTCCGATCAGGGAATTATAAAACTTGGGAGGTATGGTTATTTCTTCGGTGACGATGTTGGCTAGTTCACCTTGAATTTTTTGAATTCTCTCCTTTAAAGAAACAAATAAAACGACGCAATTAAGATTTAATTTAGGATTTTTTTTTTTTTTTTTTTTAATTTACAAAAAAAAAAAAAAAATATTAAAATTTTTTTTTTTTAATAATTTTTTACCTTGGCTAAATTTGCATTTTCTTCTCTTCCTATTATACGGATAACGTCACTCCTGTCATCTTCACCAGGTAACTCTATCTTCGTTTGAGTTTCATCTCTTATTTTTTTTATATTCGCACCTCCTTTTCCAATAACAAATTTGTGAAATTGTTTAAATATGGGCACTTCTAACATAAAATTTTCTTCTGCTAATTCTTTAACTATTTTATTCAAATGCGCCGAACATTTTTCGACATCGTCCTTGAGACCGCGAACAATAACGTAATCTTTTTTCTCATCTAAAACAAATTTTTTATGAATAATAGAAAATTAATAATAATAATAATTTTACTTTTAATTTTAATTAGTCTCATTTGCATTAAATTAGTCAGGTGTGATACCCCGATCGTGTAACAAAAAAAAAAAAAAAATTCTTTAAAATTATTTTACCTGAACTAGGAAATATAATTTGAACTTGGTTGTAATTTTCTTTAATTTCTCTTATGTTTTCACCCTTTGAACCGATGATACTCGGGAAAAAACGGTGATCTATATTTATTATTTTTTCCGTTTCAGTTTCTAACTTAGTTACCATGGCTTGTAATTTTTTTTTCACAAACAGTACTCCATCTTTGTTTCCTTCGATTCGAATTATATTCGACGATGATCCATCTTCTTCTCCAATATTAATTAAAACTCCCGTATCTTCTTTTAAACGATTAACTAAATTTTAAAAAAAATTAATTACACATATATTTGTTTATTCGAGAGAGAGAGAGAGAGAGAAAAAAAATTACGAATGAAACCAGGAATAAAAAATTTACCGTTGGTTCCTCCTTTCCCAATAATGTGTTTATAATACTTGGGATCTACGTTTAATTCTTCAAATGTGTGAGTGCTTTGAAGCTCCTGAACAACTTTATCCAATTCCGCTTGAGCTTTTTCAACTTCTTCGCGAGGACCTTCGATTTTAATTTTGTTGTCCGTAAACTCCACGTGTACTCCTTTACTAAGATCCTGTGTAATTTTTTTGATGTTGGCTCCCTTTCTCCCTATTACATATTTATGAAGCCATGCTGGAGCATTAACGGTCGTAGATAAAACACTATTAGCTTTACTATAAACCATATCTAGAGCTGTGGATTTAATTTATTTATAAGAAAATTATATTTGTCTTTTTAGAATAATAACAATAATAATAAATATCCTGCCTAAGCCAAGTTTGTCCTGAGGTCCTCGGAGGGTAATGGTGTCGGTTGTAGAATCAGAGGGCGGCATTTCAACAGAAACTCCAGTTTTCTGTAAAATTTCAGCAATTGTATTTCCTTTAAATCCGATCACGTGTCGATGCTGAGATTTGGGAACTTCTACACATACTTGACTACATTTTTTTTCCTGATTGATAGAAAAAAATTTTTTTAAAAATGAAATTTCATTTTTCCCTTTTTTTCGGTTAAATTTTTTTCATACCATTTCTTTATAAATGGCTAATATTTTATCTTTGGCCACTTGAACTCCTTCTTTTTCTCCAGCAATTGTAATTTCATTGTTCTGAACACTCGTGGGCGGGACGTTTATTCTAACATTTGTTTCTTGCATTAGTTGATTTATTTTTTCATTATGTCCTCCACAAATAAAAGGATGATACATTTTTGGCACCGAAATTCTTTCATAAGCTTGCTTAGACTAAATTGTAAAAAAATAAGTAATAAATAAATAAATAAATAAATTTTTTTTTTGTTTTAATTTATAATAATAAAAATTAAATTAAAATTAAAATGAAATTTCACCTGTTCATCGGATGTGACTTTAATTTCATGAACAGCTTTTTCGATCCCTTCTTTAGATCCAATAATTTTAATGGCATCCGAGGGATCCGAAGCATTAGGCACAGAAATTTTACAACCAGTAACTTTTTCAAGTTCTTTGAGCTTTTGTCCTCCTTTACCCAGTAAATAACGATGATGTTCTTTTGGTATATTTAACATAATATCCCCCTTTCAAAAAAAAAAAAAAAAAAAAAAAAAAAATTATAAAATCACAATCAATCATTTAAAAAAAAAAAAAAAAAAAATTTTTTTGTTTCAAACTTTTTTATTACCTGGGTTTGAAAACAAGTTAATATTCTTCTTTTTGCTTCAGCCACAGAATTTAGTTTTCCTGTAACTAAAAAGGTCAAGGACTGATCTTTATTGGATGATATTTCAATAGTAGCTCCTGTTGCTTGCATTATATGATGACACGTCCTCATTGATTCGCTTTCACCAAATTTTTCACTAAGATCGAATTTACTTTCTTCGTGAGGAATCACAAAAACCTAGAAAAAAAAAATTTCAAGTGCTGACGTCTAAAAAAATAATTTTAATACCTAACAATTAACATCCCGGAAAATAAACAAAAAAAAAAAAACTTTAGAGGTAATAAACTATTACAAATAAATAAATAAAGTATGAAAAAAAAGTAGGTCGCACCTGAGTAACTATTGATGATCCTATTCTCATTTTATTGTTGCGTTGACCATGATGATTAACTGATGTAGAAATAGAAACAGGATTTTGAGGTAGAGCTGGAAATACCTCATCATAACTTCAAACAAACAAAAAAAAAAAGGACGGTAAGGTTATACCTTTATTATACCTTATTCTTATTAATTACTATTAAAAAAAATGTTTTGTAACTACCTGTAAGCATTTGTTTCGGCACTAGATGATGGGGAACCGTTGCTGTCAAACGAAGTCGACGCAGCCTCATTGTTGTATGGGGCAGACGCAACAATAGGGCTGGGTGGCTCATAAGGGGCACCTTCACTCACTGAATTCTGCATTATTGATATCAATTAGAGCAGGCCTAGGGATTGCGCGGTCGTTACAGACACACTGTAAATAAATGTTGTAGCCATTTTTAAACTATATCAAGCAAATAATTATGAATTAAAAAATTTAATCATAAAGCACAGTTACATAAAAATAAAATTTACTGTCTCATTTAAAAGATAGGTTACAAAAAAAAAAAAGTAAGATGGTTAAGAAAAAGGGAATGACCTTCTTGAACTGCAAGAATGCAATAAAATATTGAAACCAGTTTTTTCATATTTAAACCTAACCAACCAACCAACCAACCAACCATCAGACAAGTAAACATGATCTTGACATCAGCCTAAAACTACATTTTTTTTTTTTTTTTTAAGAATAATTTTCAAAGTAATTTTTTAATTGAATAAATAGTATCAAAGAATAGATGGTAGTGTACAAAAAAAAAAAATAATTTAATGAACATCACAAAAAAAAAAAAAATTTTTCAAATTGAAATTTTGTTAGTTTTGCTAAATTTTATTTATTATAAAAAAAAAAAGTTTTTACGATAATGCTAGTTAATACTAACTATTAGGTACTGATTCTATTTAATTGAATAAATTTTATTTATTATGTAATTTAAAAATAATTTATAAATTGCTAGAGAGTGTGAATTTTTATCTAAGCAACCTTGATACCTTATCTGTAAAAGCAACGATATTTTTTTTGCAAAGTATTAAAAAAACCAGTAGTATTTAATTCGGAAAAAAAACTTGTACTGTTTATTCATCAATTAAATTTTTCCTACCGATTTCTTTTTTTTTTTTAACAGTTAACCCTTTTCATTAACTAATTAAAAAATTATAAAAAAATTTATTTATAATAAAAAAAAGGGTATAGATTTAGATTTTAACACTGTTTTTTTATATTTATGATAATTTCAAAATATATTAAAAAACAAAATAACGAAAACATTCACATATTTTAAACATATTTTGCTGATTCTACTCGATTATCGAAACTCAAAAGATTCTTAATATCAAAAGTACTTTGGTTTTAAGAAAGAAATAATTTAAAAAGTATATATATTTCTTTTTCTCATAAAAGAATTTTTCTTTTTACAAAATCCACATTTTCTTTCATATTATTTACAATTAATAATTTCATTTACTTTAATAAAAATAATTTTAATAACTCTCATAAATTACATTTGAGACTTTGAATAAGAAACTAGATAAAATTAAAAAAGAGTGAAAAATCTAACATATTTAAGGTATGGTAAAATTGTTTTTAAAAAATTTTGTTGTAATTTTGAATAAATTAAAGTTTAAAAGTAAAAAATTTTTAAAATTAGGCAGTTGTGATTTAATGATGACATGCAAATAATTTTCACTATTCATTTAGTTAAAAAAAAATCAGTAGTAATTGTGTGGCGATGTTGAAATCAGCAAGTAATTAATGTTTATAACTTTAACCTATTTGATTCAATATGTTTAAAATTAAATAAAAAAGACTTGTAAATAAATAATAATTTTTAAAAAATAATATAAAAAATTCTTAACAGAGTTTAGTTTTTTTAATAAACATACTTTTTATAACACCACGTTTTACATTAATAACCAGGCCTCATTTGTCCTTTAATACGTGTCATGCATTTGTGGACCATTGACGTAGGCAAAAGTTAAACTTCAACTTCATGTTGTGAAAATTTGACAAAAAAAACTTACTGTACTGTAAATTCCAGAAAATCCGTCCTAGAAATACCAAACTGTCATTCCCTAATGTAGGGCTCTTCCCTTTTTTACTGTAAAAATTCGACGTTTTAAATAAAAAAATTTATTAAGTGATGCGTATCAGTTAATGAATAAATACTTAATAAACACATACCGTTTGGTAAATTCAAGCGAGTCTATCATGAGATTGAAGCATATTGACGATAGCAAAAAAAATTTCTCTTTTCTTTTTTGCTAAAGTGTAATGGAAAATACCGTAGATTTTAATAGCAACAAGTCTAAATGTAAAAAATAGCGTTACTTTTAATTTTAATTTAAAATTTGTATTAATATTTTTTCTTTTTTTTAAAATTATGAACGAAACTTAATATTTTGAAATTTGAAAAAATTCTTGCGAGATTTATTTTCTCCATTTATGTAATTTTTATTATTATAAAAATTATACATTATTCCAGCAAAATTTTATTAATTAATTTGAAATTTTTATAGGATTGCCAGTAAGAAAAAAAATTTTTTTTCTCACATTTATTCATTTTATTTAATTTTAAATCAAACTTTTTTTGCATTCTATACTTTGAGGACAAAACAATGTATTCTTATAATTGTTTTATTATTATATTGTGTATATTTCTATTATTGCAACAAGTAAAATGCCACTTTATTATTATTAATTACTGCATTCTTAATATGAGGTTACCATTAGAAAAATTAATTTCATTTATCAAAAATTAATAAATTTGAATTGAAATTTATTTTTTTAAAAGCATTTTTGATTAAAAAAAATTAGTAATCGTAACAACAATATGAACAACATATGGTTCTATTATTAGTTATCAGATAATAATATTTAATCAAAGCATGAATTTTGTAATAAGGATTGAATAAGAAATCAATACAATATTCAAATATAAAGTAGAGAAAAAAGAAAAATTTTAGTTTAGTAAAAAAAAAATTAAGTTTTTTTTGTGAGATTAGTTGACCGAAAGGGAAAATCTTCCCTTAAACCCGGAGGAATGATGGCGCCTTCATGATGATTGAGATCAGGTAAAGCTTGCGCAGTTATTCACATTAATTTATATAATAAATTCAAAACTATATTTTCCACTTTGTTAAAAATTTATATATATATATATATATATATATATATATATATATATATATATATATATATATATATATACTTTAGATTTATTAAAATAAATTTTGAAAAAAAAAATGAAAACTTTTCAATGGTTTCCAAAAATTTTTTATTTTTAAAATCCACATCAATAGAAATGAATAACAATTTGTTTGTTATTATTTAAAAAACAAAAAATTTCCTTTAAAGAAACTAATAAAACAATTTTATTAATAAATTTTAAAACAAAAAAAGGGGAGGTGGGGGAGGGAAATCAATTTGTTTCTTAAATTATTTATTTCTTTATTTGTTATTATACTTCAAATATAAATATAATCATTTTTGTTTGTATTTTTCAAAAAAATTAAAGGCTTCTCAATAAATTTTTGCCTTTTTTGTGTAATAATACTAAACATGGATGGTCCTTAAAGGGAAAAACAAACATTTTTTATATTATTTAACAAATTTAATTGCAAATTTTAGGGGAAAAAAAAATTAAAATATAACAATTTCACTCCATCATCATCTTTTCCAACATGTTTATCAATATAGAACATATTTGCAAAACCTTTTTTAATATAAAAAGGATTCATATGAGATGTAGTCCAATCCTTTTTGTTATCTTTTTTCACAACCTTTTCATACAACCACAGTATAAAATGAACTTGGATAAATGGTAAAAAGTTTTATAATTTACATTTTCTTAAAATTATTAAAAAAATTTTTATTTTAGTTCAACTGCAACATAAATTAATTTAGTTTTCTTCATCACCTCGGGGGTATTTTATTGCAGAAGGCATTTGTATTAAGTGTGTGTGTGTGTGTAAAATAAAAAAGATTTTCATTTAATCAAAATCGTGTTTTTAAAAAATGATTGTCGAAATTGATATATTTAAATAAAAAAAAAAAAAAAAAAAAAAACGAGTGAAATCATGTTATTATTATTATTATAAAATTACAGTGGCTTGCTCATTTAATTAATAGTGTGTGAAAGGGTAAACCAACCAATCAACCCTTTTGATTTATTTAAAGTGTTCATCTTTCTATTTTTGATTTTTACTTTTTTTTTCTAAAAATAATTTTTATATTTTATTTTTCGTCAGTTCGATAAAAAAAAAAAAAAAAAAAAAAAAAATTTGAATGGCCTACGTGAGGATTAATAACATTGAAATAATAATAATAATAAAACCTTGATTGGTTTTTTAAAACATGAAGTTGGTTATGAAAAACGAGAAAAAAAGATATGTAGTCTGCTATATACGAAATGAAGGGTTTCCTTCTCATAAATTATGTTCGTTTTTCGTTTTATAAAAGACAACATAAACACAAGAGCACTGGCAATTGTTGTATTGGCAGGAAAAGTATAAATTTATTTTATTTTTACTCAAAGAGAGAGAAACTCAATTATTTGAAAAAAAAAAAAAAAAAATTTTATTCTGTTTTGTTTTTTAGGTCAACTCCAAATTCTGCAATGGCGGACATATCTGTTCCCCTCCAAAAGAATGTTGCCCTTTGGGATGCTGTCTTGTATTTGCTTCTCCAGGCTATCGTCCAACAAAATCTCAAACTCCTGAAACTTCATCGATGCCAAATTTTTTCCTTTGGAACCACTGGCTCTTTTGGTACTAAATAAAAAAAAAAAAAAATTTTAAATAACGAAAACGTTATTTATTTTAATATAAATTTCTTCCTTTTTTTTTTTTTTAGGGCATTATTCGTCCTGTTATTCTTTATTGTTATGTGCGGATGTGGATTATGGAAACGACGCCAATTTTTATCAAATAGATTATGTCGCCGAAGAAGTAGAAGAAACGAAGAAGAAAGAACCGAATTTGATTCAACTGCCAATTATTACCCCCCGCCACAATATAATGGATGCTCATCGTTTCATTATGCTCCTCCGCCATACACCGAGGTAAATAAATAAAAAAAAATTATGTCAATTGTTTAACATTCGACATTATTACTAAACCGTACCTTTTTTTTTTTTTTTTTTAGGTGACGTCTAAACCTGACTTGTACCCTTTGGTAATAAGTTACAGATCAGAAAATGGTAAATTAGGTGGCAATTCATTTATGGTACAATATTTTAGAAACTACGTGCTTCACCCTGCCTTGGGTATTAATTAAATATAATTGATTAATATTAAAACAAAAAACTTTTCGTATAATCTGTGCAAAATTTATTCCAGGTCCGCTTCCAACCGGAAGTTCTAAAAATCCAGTTAATCCAACAACTTTTGTTTCCAACACGGTACAAGAAGTAGATTCAAATTATCCTCCCAGTTACGAAGAGTCAAGAATGGGCGATAGAAATTATTCCCAGATGCAATCCGTGAACGAAATGACACAAAGAGAACAAATAAATACCTATTTGCCTCAGGTACTACCACCGTTTTGTTTTTTCATCAACGAATCTCCCGGATTGTTTTATATATATATACCTATTTTTAATTTCAGGAACAAAATATTGGAAATAATGGGAGCGAGCAAATAAGTATAGACATGCCACCGATTTTAAAGGAAAATATTTACCAAAATTTACAAAGCGTACCCGTTAGAAGACAAGAAATATTAAATGCGAAAGGAAACGTACCTGTGACGTTTACAAATTCCGAAGTTTTGAAAACAACCTCGATAAAATCTTATAATAAAATATTAAAAGAAGATAGATTTAGTCATGCACCGATAAAAACATTTAAAAGAAATTTGAAAACAACCGCGTTATCAAATTCTGCAGATTCCATCAGGGGTAGAGGAAATCATCAACCCCATCAATATTCTTCGGATGTTATTTTAGCTCAACCCCAAAGCTACTGCGAATCTAATAACGATTTACATTACGATTCTTCTGATATATTAGCCAATACCCATCACTACCTTCGTCGCGTGAACGATAGTTATTCTTCGGAGGACAACCTATCACAACCAAGAGGATCACTACAAGATTTCGTTTCTTCTGACGGTTTGTCACATTCACAATTTTCAAATCTCGAAATAAATAATTTTTCAACGAGTTCGGAAGTTAGCTCTTTGCAAGGATGCGGAAGTCCAGATTCACCCCCACAAGCAATAAGTCCAACGGGAGAATTTCGTAATCTTTTGGAAAAAATTCAACAACTTCCAAATCAAAAGGATGGTAATAAATATCCGGACGCGAAATCTCATGAATATTTAAATTACGATGCCGCTTTGTCTTTGATAGAAAATACAAAAATGGACGACGATGATGAGAACAACGTTGTTAAAATTGATGAAAATGAAGATGTCGAAAGTTGTTGTCTGTTGTTAAATGAACCCCCACAAAATTTACAATCAAAATCAAAAATTAAAAAATTAAACGTGACGCGTCCAAGTAAATTATTGGGAAAACCGCGTTTTCCAAAAAGAAGTAAAACTTTTTATACTCCATTATGCCACAGTGCCATAAATTTGGGAAAAATTAACGCTACGAAATCAAGCGTTTCCGCTCCTGTCACACCGATAACCAATTTTCCAAGTCCGGAAAATTTTTCGTTGAATTTTATTTTAAATACCAATAATAATAAAAATGGTTGTTCGAAAAATAATTTAGAAAAAAAAAATTCCGATGGAAAATTATTACTATTATACGATGAAGAAGATGAAGATGAAGAAGCAGAAGAAATTAACGATGAATTATTTTAAATAATAATAATAATAATATTATTATAAAATGCACGCAATTTAATTTAATAATAATAATAATAATAAAAGCAGCAAATTTTTTATGTTTTCTGCTAGCCATTTAATATTCGTCCATTTAATAATAATATTTTATTAATATTAAGTATGTATATATATATAAGTACTTTTTTTTTGTTGGGGGGTGGGGGAGGGGGGTAAATCTTTTTAAAAAAAAAAATGTGATTGAACATTAATTAATCTACACAAATTATTATTTATATTAATTTTTGGGAAATTTAATAAGAAAAACAAAAAATCTTTCAGGTTTTATATATTTTTATTCGTATAATATAATAAATAATCGCCTGATTGCCGCCAATTATTTAATAAATAAATATTTTATTAATGTACTGTCACACATTTATTAAATTTAATAATTTTTTTTTTCTATTTTTAGTTAGTTTTAAAAAAAAAATGGATATATATATATATATATATAATTATTAAAGATCTCTCTCGATATAATAATCGATAATCGATAATCGATTCGCTTGACCACATTAACATGTAAATTACACTTGTGCCGAATATTTATTTATTTTATAAACTTTTAATAACTTCAAAAAATGATAATTTTAATAAATAAATAAATAAATATGTAATTAAAAGTTTTGAAGTATATAATATAAACTTTGTTAATTATAATAAATAAATCATTATGAATTGACAAGATGATGATGATAATAATTTTGTTTAAAAATAATTTTATCCATGTTATTGTATTGATTTTATTAAAATTATTATTAATCATAATAATAATAATAATAATTTACTATATTTTAGGGAGCTGTAAGGAAGAAGAAGAAGAAAAAAAAACTAAATCGATTTTTTTTAAATTGATAAAATGTTTTCTAAATTTAATAGAAAAAAAATTTTGGTAAGTAATAACACCCACAAAAATTATTAAGTTATACAAACAATAATGATAATTATATATATATAAATATAAATATATAATATATATATAAAGACAAGACATTAAAATTATATTATTATTATTATTTTTTTTTATACAATAAAACAACATTCGACAGAAAAAAAAAAAATTCATTCACGTACTACAAAAAAATTTAAATTCAATTAGAAAAAAATTAAAAAAAAAATAAGTAATAATAATAATAATAATTACAACAAATAATAATAATAATAATATTTTAAATGATTTCTAATGCAAATTATTATTGCACTTTAATAAGTTTAAATATTTTAACTATATATATAAAAAAAAATAAACTTTTTGATTCGATATATTTCGATTGATTGATTGATCGATTCCAATTAAAAAAAATGTAAACAAAAAAATAACTGTTAAAATATTATTATTATTATTATTAAAAAAAAAGTTTTGATCGATTTATATTTATATAAAAATACCAAATAAATAATTAATCTCAGTCTTTTTCTAAAATTAAATTTTTTTTTAATAAATGACACGCCAGACAATCACAATTTTTTTTTTTTTTTTATTTTATTTTATTATAAATAATTTTGATTGTTATAATAACACTGAGTAGATTCTGATAAAATAATAATAATAATAATAATAATAACAAAAAAAATTTAAAAAAAATTAAAATCATAAAAAAAAAAATTGTTTTTATTATTATTATCATTAACAAGTTGTAGTACGATTTTAAATTTAAAAGTAAAAAAAATTTATACGATTTTTTTAAAATTGATATTTTGAATCAGATATAATTATTATATATATATATATATATATTCAGTCTTTCATTCATTGTCGATGTTTTTAACGCTGAATTATTTCATTTAAATAATAATAATAATAATAATAATAATAATAGCAATCGTAAGAAAAAAAAAAAAAAAAAAGAAAAAAAATTGTAATAAACGCGAGGATTATATTAATAGGAACCAAAAATATATTTTTTGTTTTTTGTTTTTTCTGTAATATTTTTATACTGATTATCTTATAAATAATATATTGTTTCAAATCAGTTTTATATCATCTTGTAAAATAAACTGTGATATCAGTCAGAATTTTAAATGAAATTATTTAAATATGTATATATATATATATTACATAAACTCATTATTGAGTATTATTAAAGTGTCACGGTTTTGATTGTTTGTTTCCAACATAATTTTTTTTTTTTTTTTTTTTTTTTGTGAACTTTAAATGTATAAATTTATATATGTATATGTATATAGAAAGTAACTGTAAAACGATTTTAAAAAATTTTACATTGACTTAGGAGAGATGTACAGAATATCAATTCGACAGTGTCACAATCACTGCCACAAAAATAATCATCATAATGCAATCTTGTTAATGATACTACTACTATAAATATATATAGTAAACTTAAAAGAGAGAGAGAGAGAGAGAGAGAGAGAGAGAGAGAGAGATAGATAGATAAAAAAAAAAAAATTAAATAAAAATTAAATAAAATTTTGATATAAAACTAATAATATAAAACGATAATGAATTAATATAATCGATTCATTGTCGATTTTCTTCTTCTTTTGCAGATATACTATCCGCGTAAGCCCGTAAAACACTTTCACAGACAAATTTATACTGACTCTATATAAAAAAAAATGTTATTTAATGATTAATATTAATTTCAATTAATTTCTTTTTTTTTTTTTTTTTTTTTGTTTACTTACAGAAGTTTGAATCATCATTGCTCTTTGATCTCTCATCGTTTTCACTATATCTAAAGGGTAAATTGGTTCGTTGGCTTCCATTAAACAAAGAGCGGTTTCCATTAAAATTAATACACCCGTTCTACCTGTAATTTAAAAAAAAATTTCTTTTGTTTCCCATCCACATATTACAGTTGACTTATTATTATTATTATTGAATGTTTGAATCCCACCAATTCCTGCCGAACAGTGCACCAATATTGGTTCGACCATTCCGATTCTAGCTCTTCTTACTCTTTCGGTAAATGATAAAAATTCTAAAGGTGAATCAGGGACGCCATGATCCGGCCAAGCTAAATACTGCATGTGTGATATATCTCTTTCTTCGTTCCTCTATAAAAAAAATAATCACGTGTATTTTTCCTAAACCATCAACTTTGAGAATTTCAGGTTTTGTGTAACACAAACCTTTAAATCTTTAAGTAAAAACTCTCGAAAAACAAAACTCCCGCCATCGTCGGTTTCTTCTTTCACGCAAGTTATTTCGAGTTGGTTTATCTGAAGAATATTTTCACTATTTGGCCAGTATTGATGGCACTTGGGACGACCGCGTTCGGACAGAGGTGTTAACATTACAATCAATCCTGTTCCTGCTTCCAAAACCATTTGCCAAAATTGTCCTACCGTTGATGATAAAGGCCCTTCACCAAAATAAAATAAATACTTTGTCATTAAAAATGCTGTGAATATAATACAAAAAAAAAAAAAAAAAAAACATTTGAATTTTAACTTATTTACCTTGTGTGGCAATATACCTATTGACAATTCCAGAACCTGGAATTTCCATGTTAACGTAGCTAGCATTTATGTAATCACCTCCTTCGCAATCTTGAAGTATTACTCTAGTTTTATCGTATGGCGATATATCACGATATCTATTTTTACTTTGGTTTTCGCTTTTTTTTGCTTCGTTTGTACTAAGTCCTTAACATTAAATAAATTAATAAAAAAAAGAATTTACCTTCCGTAAATTGATAATAAAAAAATAATTAGATTTTACTACAAACTCTTTTTTTTTTTTTTTACTACGAACCTGGTTTTTTTCTGTAAAGTTGATCAAATTGTACCAGTATGGCTCCACTGGCTAAACCGTCTTCTAATAATAACATTGATTGACTTAAAGCATCTGCTCCGTTTGATATTGTTTGTACTTCCGGAACATACTGGTAAGCTGGTTCCTCGACTTGATTCGTGTCGTACAATACTAATATTAAGTAAAAATAAATATTTAATAAAAATTTTGCAAACAGAAAACAAAAAAAATTGTTTTCGGGTACCCACCATTAGGTTTAACAATTAATACTAATTCACCGGGCTCGTTATCTCGGGCATTTCGTATTAAGTTTACAACTTCTTCGTGTGTCATATGAGCGATGTCGATACCATTAACCAAGACAACTTGATCACCTTCGCTTAGTTTGGGGTAACAACGATCGGCTGGAGTATTAGGAGCAACTCGTGACACCAACACCTGATAAATGTAGAAAAATAATGAGTACAGTCAAGTACGTTAAAATCAAAAGGGTTGGTTGTGTCGACCTACCGGCAGATCCAAATCCGCTCCTCCCTTAACATTAAACCCAAAACGTCCTTGTTCGTCAGGCATTATTTTAATCACAACCATTCCTCCTTCTTCTATACCGTCAGAAGAAGTTGGAAGTAGTGATTCATCTACCCCAAATTGCCTTTTGTAAATCACAGTTTTGTTTTCGACCTGTGTTCCTGCTTTGTATTTGTTATTTACTTGCGACGTATCACATTGATCTTCTTTTTCGGATGGTAATGAATCTTCGTCAGCATAAACTAAAATTCGAAATATAATGTTATTTTTTGAAAAAATTTTATTACGAAAAGTTAGTATTATTATTATTATTATTGTCGTACCCATTGTTTTTCCCAGGGACGTATTATCTAATGATAAACTTCGACTTCCTTCTATTTCTGTGTGCACACTTTTCCCATTTGATACAAATGTTGAATGCTCATCAAATCCTCCTTCCCTGTAATATAAAAAATCAATAATAATAATAATATAAAAAGTAATAATAATAATAATAATCCATCAATTAATATATTCGTACTCATGTGTTGGTGATTTATCCCAAGCTCTTTTAGGTTCCCGATAACCTAAAGAAGTAACCTTGTTGTCGTGAGTTCTTGGAGTTCTAGTGGACGGTTTGATTTTTTCATCGACTGATTGAACACTTGCACGAATAGTTCGACGACTAGGAGATCTAAAACATTTAAATAAATTTTACTTTTGCTCCGTGAAATTTATTTTTTTTTTTTTTTTTTATCACGTGTAATTCTTACCTAACAAAATTGCGTTCCATCTTAGCTCTCTGTTTTCCCTCTTCAACCGTTTGAAATTCTGTTTTACCAGAGTAAGAAAATCTAGAACCAATACCAAATCTTAAACCTAAAGGAAAACGTCTTGACCTTAATTGCGGTGACTGCAATCGAAAAAATGTGTGATGTTCCACACAACATTTCCACAAACTCTTACAAGAACGATAAGAAACCATGTTGAAACCTAGGAGGGTATCATAATTTTCACTCTGAAAATTTTTAAGTAATCGTTACAAGATGTAATACTAAAACTTGAAGTATTTTTCAAAATCAAACAAAAAATTTAGTTGATTGCAGTTTTACCTGTTCCCGTCGAAGCTGAACAAAAAATTGTTTCTGCTTAAATGAAATTTTTACTATTTTAGACCAGGAAAAAGTATTAACTTTAATATTGTTTTGGAAGACAACCAATCCTATGGATGAAACTCCTAAATAAATTTCTTTATTGGAAGAATCCTATTAAACAATTTAAGTAATGTTACAAAAAACTCCAGTTGAATTATCACAATTGTTTTATTAATTTCTAATACCCTTGCTTTATGTAAATCTACTCCATACATTTCCAGTCTCTTGGCATGATCTAAAAAATTGTATTCGGCATCTGCAGGTGTTTGCCCTTTATGAAGTTTATGGAGCTCGCATATTTTTCTTTCAAGTTCTTCATTTTGATTAGGAATTAATGCAAGTGTAGACAAATATCCATAAGAATGATCTACAGGATTATAATCTCCCAATTCGGCTGCAAATATTACATAACAATGAAAACGATAAAATATACATTCATTGAAAATTACGCTTAATTAATTACGCTTATACTAATTATGCTTACATTGAACCATATAACTTGCCAACAAACAAGCAGCACTAGTAGGAACTATTAATCTTCCAGACAAAATATCTTTCCTAACTTGTAGGTAAAAATGATATCGAGTGTATTCTTCTTGCAATTTACTAGGATCCATAACATAAAATTTTACCCTGAAAAACAATTGGCCAGTGCCAATTTGTTTTTTTAAAGATTTTTTCGGGTCCAACCATCTCTGAAAAAAAATTTTTATTTACAAAAATATTATCTCAAGTATTGCTTTTTTTGAAAATACTACAGTAAAATAATAATTATAAATTTTTAAATCTTCATCGAAATAAGTACATTAAAAAATTACCATTATATCAGGGTTATGGTAAGTTGTATTACTACCATTGTCGACAAACTGAAGACCGAAATAATCTTTTTCAATTAACTCTAAGTGAAGGAAAACAGCATCTAACAATTCTTGGCCTTTAGCATGCTTCTGTTAATAATAAAATTAAGTAATATGGTTTAAAATTAATATTAAATATAAATTAATTTAAACAGAAAGACACTTGTAATTTTACAATTTCAATCATTTTAATAAAGAATTCTTACATCAATACGAAATGTATGCTGTGTGTCATCAAGAAAAATAACCACTGAATCAATAGTTTTTCGTCGTCTTTCTTTTGCTTGTTCAGAAGCTCGAACGTTATAAGATCCACTTGACGTGATAAAAGCTCTACGAGATACGTTTTCAATCATTTCGGCATATTCCAATGCATTATATTTTATCCGTGTTAACAAGAGTAACAGCAAAACTTCGTTAAGAATATCTAACCATCCAAACAAAAAAAACTTGTAAAACCAAGCTTTTTTAAATTATTCCTCGAAGAGAATGAGTAAAAACAACGTTTTTTTAAACTAATTCATTCTTAAAATGTGTTTTCAGTATAAAAAATGATTTACTTAAGGCCACGAAGGTAAAAATGGGTAAAAAAAAAAAACTTTTTATTCTTCATCAGCAAATCTAGTACGCCATTTTTGTACTTTTTATTAATGCAAAAAAGGACATTAACTGCACGTGATAACATAAATGTTATCAAATAAAAAAACACTTATAATTGATCTCCGAAATACATTTATTTTAAGTTAGGTAATTCAAAAATGAATTAAAATAATTTATATAAGGAAAAAAAGATTTCATTTTTTTCTTTGTTACATGTATAAGATAATAAATAAATAAATAAAAACAAAAAGCCACCGCTACTCATATCGTCATTGTTAATGCCCCTGGCGGAATTAATCACGCATTACGTTCTGTCGTGGCTCGAACAACAAATTTTAAGGACTCAGGTAAAATAACAAGTATTAAAATAATATTTTTAATGTTTTTTTAAAAGTTTATGTGACAAATTTTTTTATAAAAAAAAAATAATGGTTGTAAAAATGATACAATAATTTTTTTAATTTCTGCTTACAATTATGAATTACATTTTACAAAAGTTTGAACTGATTTCCATGCTTTATCTACTTGTTTTCTTGTAAAGTCAAAACTCCATAAAGTACAAAATACAACATTGGAATTCTGTACAAGTTCATAATTTGAGGATTGTGCATTTATTCTTGATTTGGCTTCTTCTTCTGTATAACTGTTCCTCCTTTTCATTCGAGAAATGGCCTTAAATTTAATAAAATAATAAGTTTCAATTAATTGCCAATAATAATATCGACATTTTCAAAATTTTTTATTACCTCCTCTTCTGGAATTATGACTGACCAAAGTTCGTGAACTTTCTTATGCCATTCAGCTTTTATCATAACTGCTGCTTCTATAAAAACTATTTCTTTTTTTTCTTCTTTGTACATTCTTTGAGACTCCACAATGGCATAATTATAAATAGCTGGCCACATTAGGTCATTAAGTTTGTTTAACTTATCCTTTCAAAGAAAATAACATTAAGAAAAAAATTATTGTTATTAATAATCATCACTTCTTTCAAATATAATTATGTGTATTAAAATAATTTTAGTCATCCATGATGAAATAAAATTTAATGATAATATTAACTTACACGATTATTAAAAACAATATAGCCAAGTTCTTTTCTGTTGACTTCTTTGTTTGGAGCTAAAATATTTTCTCCAAAAAGTTTAACTAGCTTTTTGTATATATCTGTTTGGGGTTTATATAATTCATGACCAACTTTGTCGCAGTCTATAATTCCAGCACCTAAACTTGAAAGATATTCACAAATACTTGTTTTTCCACTAGCTACACCACCTGTCAATCCTATAATATAAGGCTTAGGGGGTAGTTTTGTATTTGGCTGCAATCATTTAATAAAATAGAGAAGGTAAATAATAAAATAAAAATCATGGTAAATGAGTAAATTTATTAAAAATTTTACCTCTGGTTGTTTCAAATAAGAACCTAATAATCTTATTCTGGCATTGCTTGAGCTAATTTTTTTTTCTTCTATACCATTGCTAAATTTGTCTTTAGCTACTTTGACAACATGTATATCCAACTCATTTAAATTATTTTCTTTTCTGATTTGATTTATTTTAAGTGCTCCTTGATAAGTTTCTGCACTAACTACTATCATATTGAAACTTGTATCACTTTTGGTAGGACCATACATGTCAGATATTTCTACAACTTCATAATCGATTCCTCTATCGACTTCTCTTATAAATTTTTCCACTGCAGATATTCTTTTTGCACAAGGTTCTATCAATTCAGGCAATGTTTTACCTAAATCAAAAAATTTTTTTTCATTAATTAAACTAATTTGATTGAAAAAAAAAAAAATTTTAATATTATTGTGATAAAAGTATATTTTGATATATACCTTTTGTCATAGCCTCATTAGTGACTCCTACAGTTAGTTTTTTAGAACAACTTAATAAGGCTTCAGTGAGTAAAATTTTGTGACCATTATGAAGCCTATCGAATGTTCCTCCTAAAACTACATTTTCATAAAGCTTCCAAGTTTTTGATTTTTTCAAATCCAGTACTTTACCTATTTTATCTGTCATTACATCATCAGTATAAATTACATGAAAATTTTTTTTTAAGTTTTCAACATTTTGAATATTAGAACAATCATAATTTTTGGGAATAATAATTACATCTGCATTGTACGTTTGTACTTCTAAAGTAAAATCATAAAACTTCAATTCATTCAAAATTATTCTCACATCTAAATTTGGAAATAAATTTGAACTTGTTGAATACATTTCAATAATCCTTTTATATAAACGTTCATTGTTTTTTAATTTTGAACGATTTCTGTTAACAGCTACATATATATATAATTTATTTATTAAATGTTGATTAATCAAATCAGATAAATGTTTGAGTTTCCCTCCTACGCTAGTTATCAAAAATCCAGTTGACATTTTTAATTATCTAACAATAAAATTCAAGGGTAAATTTCGGCACTGGTTTACAACTATAAAAATTAGACTATTTAAATTCTATTTACAATAAAAATAACAATAAAATATTTTATTTATAATTAAGTTTAAAAAAAAAAAAAAAATATATATTACATAAAAAAAAAAGTTGCCTTCGATATAGTGATATAAGTTACTGATAAACTCATAATAATATAAAAATTTCGGGTCATCAGATTTCATAAATTTAGAATTAGTTTTGTTAAGTTTTTCACCTGCATTCTGACGTTTATGAATTCGAGCGTAGAAACCATTTTGATTATCAAAGTGGGTATTGCTAGGTACAATATTATCTAATTGTTATACCGCTTTTTCTCGTCTAAAAGTATCATACTGTAAAATTTTTTCTTAGAATTTTTTTACATTAGTAATGTTTCGAGTATATTAGGTGAGAATAAGCTTTATTCATTATTTTTTAATTAATAATGCTCTCGACCCACCCACGATCGGTTTGTCTTTTTAGGGCCTTTTGCCCATTTGCTTCAAAGATTGATTTTTTTTCTTCAATTTTTGCAATATTAGTCAACATTAATGACATCATATCTGTGTTTTTAAAAAAAAAAAGTAAAAAATATACATTTAATTTTACAGAGCAAGATGGCCGATAGAAAAGCAGAATTAGATAGGAAAAAGGCTAAACTGCAAGCCATTAGGGAAAGCAAGGAAAGGAAAAAAAGAGAACTTGAACAAAAAAATGCTGATGAAATAACAAAAACATATAATGTGATTGAAAGGGATCACATTAAGGAAGTTGATGAAATGCTATCTTCATTAGGAGTTGCACCTGTATCGGATGTTTTGTCAAGTTTATCTAGCAATTCGTCTCTTCCTCCAGAAACTGATACATCAACTGCCACTCCTCCTAGTTCATTGGCAACAGCACCTTCTAGCATAACACCTAGGTCAATGTAGGTTTTAAATTAAGGCATAAAAAAAAACCTTTCTAAAAAAATTCAAAACCATTCATAATTTTTCTCTATATTTCTTTGCAGTAGTACAAAACAACTTAGTATAGTGAAATGTGGAGAAACTAATATACCTGGAAAAGAACTAGTTTTGTATTCAAAGCAAACACAAACTACAACAAGTGGGCAGGAAAGAGATGGTATGTTTTATTTGAATAATTATTTTTAAAAAAAAAATAATCTTAAATGAGGCATAAAAATTTATAATATTAATTAACAAAAAAATTACAATATCGTTACCTATTAAAAAAATTTATTAACTTATAATTTTAATTTATTACATATAAACGAAAAAATATGAATTTGACATTATTATTTACAATACTAACAACAAGTTAAGATGTTTTAAATTTTTGCATGAATGACATAGTATCTATCATTTAGTACTTATATATCTTGATAAGAACTTTTAATTTTGCGATAAACTTTTTAACGATTTCCCCGGAATGCTGAATTGTAGTTGGTTTGTTTAAATAAATTTTGAATATTTTTTTTTTTTATTATTTTATTTTGTTATTTAATAACAATTAAAATTGTTTGATTAAATTAGATTTTTTTTTGTTTTGTTTTTACAATAATAAATTGTATTTATTTATTATTTAAAAAAAATAATATTAATTTGATTTTTAAAAAAAAGAAAAAAAAAACAAACCACCTAGAAATTCATGTAAATTAAAATAATTCCAATACTGTAATGTCTTTTGCTAACAACTACTAATAAGGATCATGCTCTTCTTCTTCCTCATTGAAAGGCTATATGGATGATTGGTGGCGTCCAAGAAAAGGTTTGTTTTTTTTTTTTTTTTTTATTCACTTAATAATTAATTTTTGTATAAAATTATAATAGGGGGGTGGGTAACAAGAAAAAAAAAAAAAAAAAAACTTCTTTCCCTGTTACTATTCTTAAATATTTTAAAAACACACACACAAACACACAGTTTACCGATTAACACACAATCTTTTTCTTCTATTTATTAATAATTAAAATTAATTTTTTCGTTTTAATTTTGTCAAAAAATCAATATTATAAATTATTATGTAGTAATTTATTTTTTGTTTTGTTTTTTTTTTTTCTCAGCTCATGCGTTCGACTATTACGGTAAGTTGGCCAAGATATTATTCACTGGTACTTTTGGGTTTTGTGGTTAAATCAATCAGTGTGCAATCATATACATACATACATACATACATATATGTATGTATGTATGTATGTATGTATGTACGATTGACAAATCTCTCAATCATGCTTGGTGGCCTCTCTCTCATAGTTGAATGATGAAATGAATTTTTAGTCATTCATATATATATATATATTTATTGCCTCATTAATTATAATTCTTTTTTGGTGGAGGTTAGATGGACAAAGAGAGTTGAAAAAAATTCCAATTCAATGCCAATTTTTTTTTTTTTTTTTTTTTTTTTAAACTTCCTTTTTTAATTTTTTAAAGCATTTTTTTATGATAAGAGAGGAATACAATGAAATTAACATTCAATGATTTAAACTTATTGGCACCACGTGTACAGGGGAGGGGGGAGTGGAGTAAATATTACGTTGAGAGATTACGAACGAACTTATATATATGTATTTAACATACTTTTTCAAATTTTCAATCGCCCTAATAAAATTCGCTTATTACTTTTAGAAACGCACAATAATATATTAGTCAACTGAACAATTGACAAAAAAAAAAAAAAAAAAAAAAATTTTCTTCAATTTTTTTTTTTTGTGTTAATAAAAAAAATTGTTTAACGCACCTTCCATGTTTCCAAAAAAAAAAAAAAAATGCATGGCCACGTGGTAAAGTTTAAAAATTCTTTACTTTTAATGTTTTTGTTATTATTATTATTTAATTTACAAGAAGAAAAAAAAAAAAAAAAAAAAGAAAAATGTTATATGTATGTGGTTAAGGTAAAAAAAAAAATAATTCATTTTAATGCAGTGATAACTAATTATTATTATTATTTATTTTTTTTTTTTTGCATATTTTTAATTTACTTATTAAATTGTATAATAATTTATACTAGAATTTTCATACTTTTCCCCCCCCATTTTGATTTTATTTTACCCCCCCCCCCCAAAAAAAAAAAATTTTAAAAGTAGGATTTGGTAAATTTTTTTAACGTTTAAAACTAAAGCAAAAAAAAATATTCTTCTTGTTCTTGTTAAAGTCATAATAGAGGAGTCAAAAAAAAAAGTTTAAATAAAGGTTCAGGTTTCAGGTTTAAGGTTTATTTTACGATTTGGTTGGGTATCCTCTTTATTGTATTTTACTTTTAACCTTTTTTTCTAAAAAAATTTGCTTTATTTCTTCCTGTTAAACTTTTACTGTTTTTCTTATTTGAAGGTGAGGTTATTTTATTAAATATTAATAATTAAAAAAAAATTTATTATTATTATTATTATTATTATTATTATTATATTTAAAACAAATCGACTTAACTGACACTTTTTGTTTTGTTTTTTTTTTTTTTTTTTTTTTTTTTTTTTATCCCATTTCCCTATTATCAAACAAATACAATCTAAATCCTGGTTTAAAATGGGAGGACAAATTTACAGGTAGGTGTAATAATAAAAAAAAAAAAAAAAGGAAAAAAAAAATAAATAACTGCATGTATGTGTCGGCTTTTAAATGGGGAATGTGTTCCCCCCCGATTGGGCGAATTTTATTTTGAAAAATGATGGGGGGGTTAATGCTTGGAACCCCCCCCCCGCCGTGTGTGCTGCTGCTTTTTCAAATTTATGAATTGAATTGATTGATTGTGCAATAATTGGAGAAAAATGGGTATCGTAAAGAGTAGGGGGTGGGTGGGGAAATGGGGCGGTTTACCATTTTACAAAAGTTTTTTTTTTTTTTTTTTTGCTATAATTCATTCATTATTATCGTTGATCTCTCCCTAAAAAAGTTTTAGATCGAAAGGATCGTTCGAGAAGGTTTTAGAACCTTTTTTTAGTAGTTAGTTTCCTTTCTGTTGGTCACACACATTAAAAGAAAAAAAAATGTACGGGAATGAGGGAGTCATAATTATAATTTTGCTGTTGTTGCTGTTGTTGTTGTTGTTGTTGTTGTTGCTGCTTGAATCGTACGTAATAACATTAACATTTGGTAACGAAATGGCGTGTGTGTGTGTGTGCGTGTGCGTGTGCGTGGTGATTGGGTAGATAGTAGTCATTCTTCGTATCATCATCATGCAATAACTTATGTTAAAAACTATAGTAAAAAAAAGCGATTGAAAACCAAGCTTGAGTGTCGTTTACCTTTGCTCTAACAGCGATTTTATTAATAATAATAATAATAATAATAATAATGTCTTTTAGTAGTTTTTATGTGTACTTATCAAATTGTTTTTTTTTTTTGTTTTCACGTTGGAAGTTGCGTTAAAATTTTTTTTTTTTTTTTTTTAATGTATAAAAATTATTTATTTAGGGAATCAATTCCCTTTTTTTTTTTTTTTTTGGTTCAATGACTTGCACGTAAAAGAAGAATGATGATGATATTTTGTAGAAAGAAATACGATACGTTCGTAGAATTAATGTTTTCAATTTTTTTTTTTTTTTTTTTTTCGTTTTAAATTTAAATTTAATTATTAAATGCAAGTTATTTGTACTCATGTTCAGTTGATATTTAAAAAACAAAAAAAAAAAAAAATTACGAATTACTTGTAAATGTAAGCAAAATAAAATACTCTAAGCTTTTCCGGATTCAAATTTAATATATATATATAAATCCAATACGTCTAATAATAATAATAATAGTAATACATTATTCATAGGATGAGAAAGTAAATTACTTACATCACTAAAATTTTAATTAGTCATTTAGAAATTTCCATCAAAAATAACTTCACATCATTTATCATAAATATTGGCAATAACATTGAAATTCATATTATTTTATATTCTATATATATAAATATTATTTGTACTAGCCTGTATATTTTTTTTATTTTTTTTTTTTTTATGGGAATTTATTTTATTTGCTTATTATTATTATTATTTTTTTAATTAATTTTGTTGTTAAATTTTATATTTTAATTAGTTGTTTTGAATATTTGCTTTGAAACAAAATATAAAAAAAAAAAGGGGTTGTAAATTTAAAAGTCATTGTAAATCAATATTGAGCGCTTCAAAAAAAAAGGTTTTGTGGGTTTTCTGTCGCACCTCCTATCAGGTTTAGTTTTGTTTGTTACGCTTTCTATTTTTTTTTTTTTTCTATAATGATTTAGTATTTATTAATATTATTATTATTGTTAATTAAATTTAAATCGGTAAGTACGGAAAATGAGAAAATAGAACAGATAGACGACTCTCTAGAGTTTATTAGAAATTTCTCGAAAAAAAATTTAGCGAATTTCCGGTTGGCGCATTTTTTGCGGTTTTTAAAATTTTAAATTTGTCACCCTTTTTAATTGAAAATAATTTTTACAAAAAAAAAAAAAAAAAAAATGGCGGGCTAGTCCAAATAATATTATCCCTATGTTGGTCGAATAATCTTATTCACAAATAGTTCTTACTTATGATGAAACGGAAGCCGAAGACGAAGAAAATTCTCTCTCGCATCTCGATGGATTTCAATCCAAACTCCTTCCGGGTATACTCCCTCACGGATTACCCCACGTAAAAGAAGTCGTGCCAGCCGTTACTGTTGTCGAAACTCAAAAGGAAAAGGAAAAAGTACCTCCGAGGGAATTGAGCGAAGAAGAAAAACAAATGATCATGTTGACGGAAGATTTTCAAAAGTTTATGCATAGAGGAGGTCAAATAATGGAAAGAGCTCTCGCTGAATCCGTCGACATATACACGGATTATACTGGCCTGCTCGAAAACGAAGATGGAAGGTAAAGGAGAAATTATTATCATCATCATCATTTTTCTCGAAAGGAAGAGTATGAAATGTGTGTTTTATTTTACAGCGATGATAAATCGAGTTTAAGGGTAGTTTTAAATAGAAGATTTTCCGATGATCGATGGACGAAAAATCGTTGCGTCATGTCTTTGGATTGGTCTCCGCAGTATCCAGAATTATTGGTAGCTAGTTATCATAACAACGAAGACACTCCGAACGATCCCGATGGTGTTTGCTTGATATGGAATACAAAATTTAAAAAGACGACTCCAGAATATATATTCCATTGCCAAAGTCCGGTCACTATTGCAAATTTTGCCAGGTATTATTTATTTATTTCGGTCATTTGATAAAACTTTTTGGAAATGAGTAAATTTTAAATTTTTTTTTTTTTTTTACCCTTAAAGATTTCATCCGAATCTCATTCTCGGCGGAACTTATTCTGGCCAAATTGTTTTATGGGATAATCGCGTACACAAGCGTACTCCAATTCAAAGAACTCCTCTTTGTTCAGCGGCGCATACGGTAATATATATTTAATATAAATAGTATAACAACAACCGTCTGAATCACGTGACCGTAAAAAATATATTTATTATTTCACACAGCATCCCGTGTACTGCTTGAATGTGGTCGGTACTCAAAATGCTCACAATTTAATTAGCATTTCCACGGATGGTAGAATGTGTTCTTGGAGTTTGGATATGTTATCGACTCCTCAAGAAGTTTTGGAACTTCAATCCAAACAGAAAAAAGCCATCGCCGTAACCGCTTTGGCTTTTCCTCCGAACGACGTGAATAATTTTGTCATCGGGAGCGAAGAAGGAGATGTCTACCAAGGTTTTTATCTTATTTTATTTTTATTTTTTTCCTCACTAAATGAAATTTTTACAACTGATGTAATTTTTTATATCAAAAGCTTGTCGTCACGGTACAAAAGCCGGTGTGGTAGAAACATACGAAGCTCATCAAGGTCCAATCACAGGTTTAGACGTTCACAACAGTCAAGGGAGCATCGATTATTCTCACTTGTTTTTGACTTCTTCCTTTGACTGGACCATTAAGCTGTGGAGTTTAAAAGTAACGTAAAATATTTATTGTAAATTTTTTCCCGTGTATTATAAAACGGGAGAGGTTTTTTTTTTTTTTTTTTTAATGACGTTTTATCAAATTAATTAACAGGACAACAAGCCATTGCATTCGTTTGAGCACAATGCAGATTATGTGTATAACGTCGCATGGTCACCCACTCATCCTTCTGTTTTTGCGGCCGTTGACGGCACGGGTAAACTAGACGTTTGGAATTTGAATCAAGACACGGAAGTACCCACGGCGGGTATCGTTGTGGAAGGAGCACCTGCTTTAAATAGAGTTAGCTGGTCTCAAAGCGGTCAATACGTGACCGCGGGAGATGACTTGGGAAGAATTTGGGTGTACGAAGTTGGAGAAGTAAGAGAATATCATCGCGTGAAAAAATGTTTGTTGCATGCTTTTTAATAAAAATTAAAATTTTTTTATCTCTTTCAGGCTTTATCTCAGCCGAGAGTGGATGAGTGGAATAAATTTATGTACACGTTAGAAGACTTCAAACATAATCAAGCCGATGAAGAAATCGAAAAAGCTGCCAACATGATTTACGGTTCGGGGCCTTCGAGTTTGACAAGCCTTCCAAGTTCATTATCTCCAGGTCTTTCCATACCCGTACGTTAAAAATGTAGTTGGTACCTAAAGTACGAACGAGTACCTTTGAGTCGAATTTCAAATTCCAAGAGGCTAATACGTATAATATAAGAACTGGTCTCTTCTAGTCTTTCTGTTGCAATTTCAAAAAAAAAAAAAAAAAAAAATCACTTTAATTTTTTTTTTTTTTTTTCATTTTTTGTAATGAAATAGTGAAAGAAATCTCTCTATTAAGAAAAAATCAATTTACTCATTGGGAAAAAAATCGAAATGCAGCTTTTATTATTATTATGTACTTAAAACAAAAAAAAGTGCTTTTAATATATTAAAATAATTATGAGAAAATTTAATTTTGTGAGGAAAATTTTTTAAAAGAAAATTGTACCGTTTAAGGCAAGAAAGAAAATAAAGTTTGTGAATTAATACCCATAATGATGATGATGATGATGATGATGATGATGATTTTGTAAAGTAGAAATAATTTTTTTAAGAGAAATATTTAAGAAGAAGAGAAAAGCTCAATTGAATAAAATTTAATCATTAATTAATTGTTAAATGGTGCTTAAGTTTATTATTATTATTATTATTTAAAAAATAATTTTTTATAGGGTATTAATAAAACAATAAAAAGTAACAAGAAGTAACATATTATATAAGCTTTAATTTTTATATATATATATATATATAAATATTTAAATAATTTATATTTTTTTTTGCCGCAAATCATTTTCAATAAGAAAAAAATAAATAATAAATAAAATTTTATAACCTAAATAAAAAATTTGGCTTCGTTCGCTTATTAAAAAAAAAAAAATACATACAATATATTTAATTAAACTGTTTTGGAAAAAAAAAAAATTTTTTTTTTTTCTTTTTGGCAGTGTTTAAATTATATTTATTTAAATAAATAAAATAATTAATTAATAAAAATGTTTAATAAATGATTTATTGATTTATTTTCTTTTTTATAACAACGTTTTTAAATTTTGAAAGAAAAAATTAAAATTATGTATGCGTTTGTATGTTGTTAACAGTGCATACTACTAAACTACTCATTGTGGTTGTTGTTGTTGTTGTTACATTTATAATTTAATGAGCGTTTTTTTTTTTTTTTAAATTGTTCTATTATTCGAGTAACAAATTCAGTTATTTACATAATTAATCCATTTAATAAAAAAGCCAACCATAAGTTCTCACAATAACATCTGAGTTTAATACTGATAATATATAAATTTTGAGAAGAAGAGAAAAAAATACCATGACACATTTCATTATAAATATATATTTAATAATATTTGAAAGTCTTTTTTTTAAATGGTAAATTTATACATATATATTTATTTATTTATTAGGCATAAAATTTCTATTTTTTTATTTTAAATAATTAATTCATTGATATTAAACATTTTAAAAAAAAAAAGCAATATATATTTTGTCAAAAACAAAATTACTAAAAAATACTATGAAACAAATAAATACATAAATATACAAAATATATATATATATATATAAATATTATAATATAATTTAAATAAATGGAATGCCATACATATAATGTGAAAAACAAAGAAATCTATTATTATTTTAAATAAAAAATAAATTTATTATGATGAAATCTACTACTGTATGAGTGAGATAAAAAGGAATATTTTTTTTTTTCAATGATATCGTGATACCACTTCAGAATAAAATTAATTAAAAAAAAAAAAAATTAAAAATTAACATACATTTAGACTGAGAAGTTATAATATTTTATGAATAGATTAAACAACAACTGCTTCTATTTTAAATAATAATGTTCACAATTAATAAACCTTAAATATATTTAAGCTGATTCTCCCATTTTAGCTTTTGATGACATGTAAACTCCTACTATTAGACCGAAAAGTCCAATTGCACTACCAAAAATCTCTACTATTAATATTTTAACAAAAAGTGCAGAATTTGCAGCATCTGCCAATGCTGCTCCTGATCCGACAATGCCGACAGCGATTCCACAAAATAAATTTACCATACCCACTGTTAAACCAGATCCGAAGACTGCATAACCGGCAAACCAATTCATTTGCTTTACTTTGTCTTTCATGGGATCATCAGGTAATTTTTCAAGTATTGATGACAATACAATGGCAGTGATGAGTCCATAAATGGCAACAGCTTCACAAAAAATTACAGAAATTAAATTTTTGGTTTTTATTCTCGGTGCTTTTACTCCACCTCCAACTATACTCGTTCCTAAAAAATTAACGGAAAATATTTTTATGTATTTATGTGACTTGGACAAATAAAAAATAAATCAATAATTAAAATATTTTAGTTTTACGTAGAGTTAATATGGTTAAAATTTACCTGTGGTGTAAATCCCGATTGCAGCACCCACGACAGACAATGCTACAGATAATCCGATTCCTACAGAAGCCCAAAGATATGGGGAGGTTGCTTCTAAAAACCAGGCTATACTAAGTACTTCTCCCTTACCCGAAAGTAGATAAAATAAAACAATTAAAGTAACAGCTATGCTTAAAGCGCCTGTAAACGTGTACGTAAGTAGGTATCTCATTTTTTTACTTTAATGAACTATTCTAAACTAAAGTATAATGAAAATATTCTACATCAGATGATTGATTTTAAGCAGAAGTCATATGACTTCGAGCAACCGGAAAAGTCGTGTCACTAGCAACAGTGTACACAATAGTGTCTATCCATCGATAACTTGTCCTGCTGATTTTATCAGGTAATTTTGTTTACTACATTTTATAAATCTTGTATATTAATTCACGAATTATTTTCTATAATGTACGCCTAAAAATAATAAAATTATAATCTTGTAAACTATTTTTCATAAAATTTTAATTTTGAAGTATTATACACAAGAGTTACACACAGTTAAATCTCTTGTTCAATTTTTATTTGAAATCGTACATATATAAATTTCAACTGATTTTTAAAAGTATCCGGTAATAGACAAGAAAAAGATTTTTTTAATAATAAAAAAAAAAAAAACTTAAATATTTGTATAATAATTGTAAATTTATCATTTTTATTAACTGAAATAAAATTACGTAAGACGAATTTAGAAAGTTAAAAAATTTTCTGTCAATTTTAAACATAATGATAAATAAATTGTTGTATATTTAAAAAAAAAAAAATAGTAAAATAAATATAATAAATTAATAAATTAACAAAAATAAATAATAATAATTTATAAGTAAATAATTGGTTTAAAATTTTTTTTTTTAAATTTAATAACAAGACATGACCTAAATTTTTTTTTTTTTAATAAAAGGGTATAATTTTTAAGCAGATCATTCCCTATATTTGTTTATTTGTTTATTTATCCAAGGTACATAAAAAGCTAATCTTGTGTATACATCTGGATATCCCGGTTGAGCACATCCACTACCAAATGATGTTATGCCAGCTAATACCCAACGACCATCTTTTAAACTACATTGAAGTGGTCCACCCGAATCACCCTAAAATATTTTAATTATAGTAATTTGATAAAATGTCTCACTATGTAAAATATCTTTTTAATTACTTACAACACATGTTCCTGTTGTCCCATCCAAACGACCAGCACACAAATGTCCTGTTCTGATAGGTACACTATCACCATATTTTGCTTGGCACAATGAATTATCATGCAAGGGTACAGTAGCTTGTAAAAGAGTCGATGTTATCGGTCCTTGTGTTTTAAATCTTCCCCATCCAGTTGCTATACATTTTGTAGGACTTTTGATTTGGTAACTATAATTATCAGATTTTGATGGTTTTCTAGTGCTTATGTATTTTTCAGATATTTTTTTAATTTGAGCTTTCAGGTATTGCAAATTGTTGTTATGAGAACTTTTTCCATTGGTATTGTTCGATCTTGTTTCCCCATATTCAATTTTTCTCCCTTTCCTATGGTTAATTGATGAATTACTGGTTAGTTTGTTTTTTTTACTATTGGTCGTATTAAATTTGTCAAAATGTGGTTTATATTTCTTTGGTTCTTCAGGCAAACACACGGCTCTTATTTCTACGGCTTTTGATAATTTCATAATTGCTGTAAAAAGTATTTTTTTAAAAAATTCATTATATTTTACTTTATTTCTTTAAAAAAGGTATCATACGATTATTTCAGGTACCGATATCGTTTTGATAATTGTTGAATTTTTCATGTACGATAATTCTATCGATGGGTACTCGTATTTCTGTATTTTCTTCTACATTTCTATCCCAGTCACCTAAAACAGCTGTCCAAAGCGTTGCCAAAGGTAAATTGAAAAAATCGCTGTAAGGAATAATGTAAAAAAATTATTGTATAAAGAAGGATAAAACATTTAGTACAATTTATTTTAATATTTTACTTGTGTATGCAATGAGCTGCTGTAATTATCCACAATGGTCGAATCAAAACAGCCCCACACCAGTGTCCAATTAGGCCAAATTTAGGATGAAGTAGTTGCAACGACACCTAATTGAAATTTTCACATGAAATTATTTTTTTTAATTTTATTAGTTTTTATTTAAATATATATAATAAGGTATAATTTTAATCATACCTGCCACGGCCAAGCTCCTTTTAAACTTTTTTTTCCGTTAATTATTCTTCCCTCGTATAATTCGGTCCAATTTCTAGGTTGACGATGTCCCACAAAACTTCTTCCACAATCTAAAACACGCGCACACACACACAGAAAAAAAAACATTCCCTGGCGTTAATAAAAAAAATTCAAAACAATTCATTCATGCTTTCTATATTTGGTTAAATAGAACGATAATAATCAGATTGGATTAAAAATGTCTGATTTTAATTTGGATATCAGTTAAAGAACATGTTAGAGACATTTGCAAACGGAAAAATGTCAACACAAAAAAAAAGTTAATGATAGATTATAATCACATTTACCTTTATTATTATTATTATTATTACTACTGGTCGGAGTCGGCGATGAAATCGTCAAAATGGCTAAGGAATAAGCTAAAAAAGTAACCCTAAAAACTGCCATTTAATGTTCCATTCCGGTAAATAACAAAAATTGATTTTCTAATTAACTACTAACGAGCCGGTTAATTAAATATAATTTAATCACTCCATTGAATTTAATGAATCTTCTGTAAAATTACCGTTAAAAAAAAAAAAAAAGTGAAATTAATTAAATCGTTAAGAAACATGATAACATTTTTTTTTTCTATGTGGATTTTCGTAAAAAACAAACAAATTTTCCCGCGTAAATCCACGAAATTTGTTTTCTTCACGTAATTTATTATTAAAATAAATAAATAAAATCAAATTCTCCCATTATTGATTCCAATCGATTATATATTTTCGTTAATTAAACTTATTTTGAAAATTTTAACACCCCTAATGCCACGTTCGTTCGTTTGCGTTCACGTGTACGACTAAAGGTAGTGATCGATAATTACCGCGCGTTTTGAAAACGAACGTTCGATTTCGGTTATTTTTAAAAAAAGCCGCCAAACGCGGTTTCCGCGAACCACGACATCACATAATAATCGATATCACATAAAATCCTTCACTTACCATAACGATGCCGCCATTTTTTTTTTTTAAACAAAATTTAATATTCTCTTCCATTAATATATCCTTTAACACTTTTTTAAAAAAAAAGAAAAAAATTTAAAAACAAAAAACGACGAAAAAAAAAAGAAAACTTATTATGTGATGTTAACTTATTGAAAATAAAAAATAAACTGAAGAACGGACGGTTGTTGGACGGTTGTTGGTCGGTTGTTGTTGTTGTTGTTAGTAAATGAAAGTGAAATGAAAACAAACTTTTCAATGTTTATTTTGTTGTTGTTGTTGTTGTTAACGCGGTTGTAATAATATTCACAATATAAAAAACGTTCGTTTGTTATGTGTAAACTTTTACTAGGCATTAAGTCATTTTTTCAAATTATAAATTAGTTATTTATTATTATTATTATTATTATTTATTGTGAAAGTTTTTTTTTTTGTTGGAATTTATCATTATTATTATCATTATTACTACCGTATTGTAACGCGTCATCACTGTGTCATTATAATTATAATTATTATTTTAAAATAAATTTTCGATTAAATAAATGACGCCATCTTAATATACAAAATGTATGTATACGTAAAAATTAAATTTAAGAGTGAGAGTTTTTTTCTGTTTTGCAGTTTACAACAAGAAGATGGTGAAAAATAAACAAACAATAAATAATTTTAAAGTTTAAACAAAAAAACGGTTAAAAGAAAAAAAAAATTTGCCAAAGGAAAAGAAGAAGAAAAAAAAAGAAAAAAAAGAGGTTAGAATGATTTTATTTTTATTTTTTACGCGGCGTTTTCTCTCGAATCGATAAATCCGCGTAAAATAAACAAAAACTCAAAAAAAAAAAATTATTATTATTATTATTTGCTGCATCATTGAAAATAATGCGATTTTATTATTATTATTATTATTATCATTACTATTTTTATGTTACGTTAATAATAATGATAAAAACTTTTGCTTGTTTAAAAAAAAAAAAAAAAAGTTTTTTTTAAAATCGAAATGAGTCGAAATGGTGTAAATTGTCATGCCTACGACCATGACAATGATCATGATAATAATAATGATGATGATGATGATGATGATGATGATGATGATAATGATTCGGTTCGATGATTTTTCTAATTGAAATCCCCTAAGGATGTTTGTCGTTTGTCGTTTGTATTTTTTTTTTTCAATAAGAAAAGTATTATTTTCAATATCGATGATAATAATAATAATAATAATAATAATAATAAACGAAAGTGAATTTAAATTATTATTATGGGGAAAATAGAAAATGTACAATGAATGACCAACGTAAGTGGCAGTAATAATGATGATGATGATGATGATAATTTAATTGACTCAAGTTAAAAAAATTAAAAATATTTGAAATGATTTGTTCCTTTTTTTTTTTTTTATTTATTTTGCTTAATGGCGGTGATAAAAAAAAAAAGAAAAAAAGTTTGTTATCATTCGCGAAAGGGTTTATGATAACGTTAAAAATATTTTCATTCCCGGTATGGCGACCCAGTTGTCAAATTTTAAGTGAAATTTAAATTTTACTTTTTAAGGTAGTCTCTCTCTCTCTCTCTCTCTCCCTCTCTCTCTCTCTCTCTCTCTCTCTCTCCCTCTCTCTCTCTCTCTCTCTCCCTCTCTCACTCTCTCTCTCCCTCTCTCTCTCTCTCTCTCTCTCCCTCTCTCTCTTTCTCTCTCTCTTTCGTCGTTTGATTTTAATTATTCGGGACGAAGCGAAAATTTTCGAAAAAAACACTTTTTCTTTCTTTTTTTTTCTTTTACAATCGTAAAAAGAATTTCAATTTAAAATAATAATAATAATAAACAAATGAAAGGGAAAACCGTGATAGAAATAATGAATGTTTTTTTTTTATACATTTTGCGGTGTTTTCGAATAGTTCTAGAAGGAAAAAAAAATATATATATATATTTCGGTTATCAATTATCATTATCATTATTATTATTAATAATATTTTTTTTTTTTTTTTAATGACCGTATTTAGTATTTATCGACTTAAATATTTTCTAATTAGAGTACAAACCCCCATATTTATATATAAACTTTCTCGTTTGAATTCTCTTGCGAAAAAGAGTTCCATAATTAAAAAAAAAAAAAAAAAAATGTCGGGTCATTAAAAAAAAAAAAAAAAAAAAAAATTTTAGAAATCGATCTAAAAACTACTACAACTACTACTACTGCTACCACTACTACCACGACTACTACTACTCGGCATAACTTAAAAATGAATTAAAATTCCAATAAATAATTTTTTTATTTATTTTTTCTGTTAATCGTGGTAAATTTAATTAGTAAATAATAATAATAATAATAAAAGATGTTAGGTTAACGTGTCGGATGTCTCAAAGGAAATAATTGTTCAATTTGACGACAAAGGATTGTTGGTGGTAGTCGTGATGATAATAATAATAAAAACAAAATCTGGAGATATCTGGAGAGGTACAATAAAACTTGTCGATATCTCCATTGGAATATTTGTCGAGAATATGGATTGGATGGACTAGTCAAGGAATAGGGGGTCCATGCATGGTTCTGTACAATCAACAAATCCACACTGACAGAACTGTGCCAGCGAATAAACCGGATATCATCCTGAGAAGCATAATGTGGAAATAATGGTGGGTACGGTAATTGAAGTATCCGTACCGGTGGAAAAAAACAGCCAAAGAAGCGAGCAAAAGGCTGAAATATCCAGGATGTGGGGAGTAAAGTAACAGAAACGATTCTGGTCATCGTGGGAGCAGCACAGGGAGTCATGCCACCACATTCAATAAAAGGAAATTCAAAGAATATTCTGAAGAACCTAAAAGAAGAAACCATCCAGGAAATCGCACTATGTGGGACGGCCCCCACTCTTCGGAAAATATTATTAATAGCACCACCGAAATTTGAGCATTTATCCCTAAGGAATCAGGTAGAAACCCGGAACAAATGTTTTAAAAAATTCCGAAAAGCTTGACGTGTTCAAAAGTGAAAACAATAATAATAATAATAATTTTTATTCCTGTCGAAAAGGATATTCAAACGAAACCAGGTATAGTCGTGAATGAAAGTGAAATTAATAATAATAATAAAAGAGAACGAGAGTAGTAGTATTATAGGTAACGATGATAATAATATTGATAAGGCAAAAAATTTAAAAATGGCGATTCGTCGTCGTTTCCCCTTCACGTCGTTGATTTTTTTTATTAGAGACATACCAAGAAAAAAAAAGAAAAATTTGACATTTAGTTAAAATGTAGTTAGTTGTTCACCTCTGGAAATTTACAAGAATTTCAACTTATTATTATTATTATTATTATTATCATTTTATTATTTTTTCCTGTTTAAAAATGTCTCTGATTATTTAAACTAAAAATAAAAAATAAAAAAACCGGATGGATTATCAAAAATCGTGATTTTCACAAAAAAAAAAAAAAAAAAAAAATTTACTCGAATAAAACGTGATGGAAAAGTTTTCTTTTCGTCAGTTGTGATAAAACCTTTTGTATTATCATTATTATTATTATTATTATTTAAGATAATTTAAATTTATTAAAGTTTCGGTGTAAATTGTAAAAAAAAAAAAAATTTCGATGACGTTTAAAACGTTTCTCATAAGATAAACATTGTAAACTAATCCCATAATGTTCTCTTATTAGCGTGGGAGTTTTTCAAATCGTGGTTCTTTTTTCCACCCCCTCTCCTTCTCCTCCTCCCCTCCCTTTCCCTCTCCCTCCCCATCCCCCTTCAACGCTTTCTTCGTTTATGTTTAGAGATTTATTTATTATTTATTTGAAATGAAAACAGAATTTTTTCGATTAATCTTTCGATGGTATTTACGATAAAATACCTAATCCCGAATGAGTCAAAAGTCATTTTGTACCTGAATTTTTCCTTATCAAGGATCTTCGTGTCGAATAAGGTCCCCATTGGTAGGAAATCATTCGAAAAAAAAATTTTTTAGTTGGTCGGTCGGTCGACATTAATTGCAATAAAATCGTCAAAAAGTGAGTGTTAAATATTTTTTATAACTTTAATAATTTTATTTGATAAAAATTCAGCATTTAAAAAAGGATCTGAAAGGAAAATTTCTTATTTACGAACGGAGGGGGGGGGGCAGGAAAAGTGGAGGGAAACCATAAGAGACGAAAAGAATTTTCCGAAAAAAACCGACAAATTTTCTTTAATTTTTATTTGCTAAGTGATAATTTGTTATCATTTTCCCCCCGTCACATTATTATTATTATTATTATTATTATTATCACGATACTCTCGCTTCGAACGAAAGAAATTTTTTTCATTTTCATTTCCCCCCTTCGCTCTCCGTCCTCCCCTCCCCTCCATCCCCCCATTTTTCTTACTTACTTAAATTTACATAAATTTTATTTTATTCTCTTCTCTTGTTTATTTATTTTCTTTTTTGTTGTTGTTGTTGTTATCGTTTGTTGTAAATTTAAAAAAAAAAAATACAACACACACACACAAAATGATAATAATGATAATGATAATGATAATAATAATGATAATAAATTTTATTTTATTTTTTACATACATACATTTTTTTTCGCAAAAAAAAAAAAAAACAAGTAAATTGTACCGGTTTACGAAAAGAAATTCGTTTATTATTATTATGATCGACGTCAAAATTATAATATTTATCATCATCATCATCATTTGATGTTAATATGTATACATAAATAAATAAACATACTTGTATATTTTATATGAATTTGCAATTAATAAATTTTTTTTTATGAATAATTTTATAAAAGGGGAATAAAATTATCCTAAATTTTCACTTAAAATATTTTTTACAAAAACTTAAGAAGAAGAAGAAAAGTTGTTTTGTTTGCAAAATAATAATAATAATAATAATAATAATAATAATAAGTGACAAATAAAAAAGAATAAAAAAAAAAAAGAAAAGACAATCAAACGAGTATTTAAATTCGCTTTTTTTTTTTTTTTTTAAATAATTATTTATTTTAATATTGAATTATGAATGGACAAAAAGCAAAAAAAAAAATTTATTTATTTTTAAACGATGTTAAAAATAATAATAATAATAATAATAATGATAATAGTTATGAAGAAAATTGCCTTTGGCCGACGCCACATTGGTTTTTTTTATTTTATTTATTTTTTTTATTTTACCATAAATTATTTTTATTTTTTTTCCCTTTCTAAACCCTTAATATACTTTCACCACACTTGACACTTTTTCTTGTCTTTTCTTATTTCCCTTTTTTTTTTTTTTTCATTATTTATAAACTTTTGTAATAATGTTTAGAATGGTTATGATGCACGATGGAAAAGGAATAAATGATGATGAGGAAAAAGGATCGGAAAATTTGGAAAAAATAAAATTTAACGAATTGAAAAATGATGATGATGATGATGATCGTTTCGAATGGAAATCACGGAAGAAGAAATCGATAAATTTGAAAAAGGTTATTGGTAAAAAACGAGGAGAAGAAGAAAATGACGTGGAAAATTCGGAAAACAATAATAAATCGATAAATAAGAAAAAAAATGTCTCCTGTAAAATTTGTTTGAAAACATTCGACGAGGGGTCGTTATTAAAAAATCATTTGTTGGAAAACGAATGTCAACGTTTCCGGTGTGAAAAATGTGGAAAACAATTGAAAAGTAATAAAAATTTACAAAAACATATCAAGACCGAACATGCGATGAATGATGACGTAATGACGAACGTGGAAGAAGAAGAAGAAGGAGAAAGATCGTAAGTGAATTGAATTTAAAAGAAAAAAATTAGATTTTGAGTGGTTTTTTTTTTTTTTGTTGCAGGTCAATCGAACTTTTGGAAAATTCCGGTGAAAATCGTACGGAAAAACGAAGAAGAAAATCCTTTGAAAAAAAATTTTCCGACATCGATCAATTAAATTCTCACATCCAATCCGATCATCATTTGGGGGGAAAAAAATGGAAATGCGATGGATGCGGTAAAAATTTTTCCTGCGAAAAAAGTTTGTGTCGTCATAAGAAAACATTTTCCGAGGAACATTGGTTTCCGTGTGAATTTTGCAAAATGAATTTTCACCGAATTGAAAATTTCATCCGACATTTAAAATTAAAACATTCTAAAGTTACGATGAATGCTATGAAAGCGGGGGAAATCATTTTAAGAATTTTCATTTACGAAAACGAAAACGATAAAAAGTCCAAAACGATTTTCATATGCACGAAATGTTGTAAAATTTTTTACCAACGTGAAAATTTACAAAAACATCACGTCGAAAATTGTACGGAAATGGTTAAACCGGAAGAAGAACCGAAAAACGGAAACGAAAGCGGGGAAAATTTTAACGATTTCAAATGTTTTTCATGCGATAAAAGTTTTGTGAGTTTGGAAGGTTACGAATATCATAAAAATAAAATTCATTCCAATGTCGAATTAAAAAAAAATAAAAGAAATAAAAAAGAAAATGATGACGACTGTGACGATTTTATTTTTCCAATTGATAATAATAACGAATTTATTTGTCAAGTTTGTAAAAAATCATTTCCGGTGAAAAATCTTTTTAACGAACATTTAAAAGAACACGAAATTCCGGTGAAATACGGACTCCATTCGTGTTCCATATGTCCGAGATCATTTTCCAGCAGCGATGGATTAAAATATCATTTGGCTACCCACACGGGTGAGAAAAGGTACTCGTGTAGAGAATGCAAGAAAAAATTCATAAAAAAAACTCATTTGTTAGAACACGAAGGTACTCATTCGAAAATAAAATATTTTAAATGTTTGAGATGTCCGAGAACTTTTCACACGGATTCCGCATTTCGAAAACACAACAAAAATTTTCCCGGTCCTCATTCTTTTCCATGTGAGAAATGCGGAAAATTATTTACAAAAGAATCCATGATCGAAAAACATATTTGCGTGGATTTGGCGAATGTGACCGTGGCACCGGAAGTGAAAGAATTGTTAAATGGCGGTGAGGTATCTGTCAAAGAAGAAGAAGAAAACATGGCGACGACGGAAACGAATGATGAAACGTTCGGAAAAACGATTTCCGCCGAAGAAAAAAAAACTTGTGGTGATGATAATAATAATTCTCATACATGTTATAAATGTTTTAAAATTTTTCCTAATTTAAACGAGGTTCAAATCCATCAGGAGGAACACATCGGAAAACAAAATTATAAATGTAGATTTTGTTCGAATGTTAATTTTAAAAGAGCAGACGATTTTAATTCTCACATTCGTTATCATTTGGGAAATTCACCCTACGTGTGTTTAAAATGTAATAGAAAATTTATTTCACCTTCGACGTTATCCTCGCACTTGAAAAAATATCCCGACGAACATTGTTTTCCCTGTGGAAAATGCGAACAAAGTTTCACCACGTTAAAAAAATTACAAAATCACGAATGCATTTTCACGGAAAATTCAAATAAATTCACTTGCGCTTGTAAATCTTTATTCAAAAACTGGAACGAATTTGCCGAACATGCTGGAACGAGGAAACCTTACAGGTGTTGTACCTGCGATCAAGAACACGCGACCCTAAACTCTTTGGCGAAACACGTAAGAAAACACACTGGGATAAAACAATATTCTTGTGAAAAATGTTCAAAATCCTTCAGGATTAAAAATAATTATTTTTTACATTTAAAAATACACAAGGAGGAGGAAGAGGAGGAGGAGGAGGAGAGTAAAAAAATTCATTGTCAACATTGCGATTATAAAAATAAATCACAAAAAAGAATGAATTTTCATTTGTTCAGGTAACGGTTCCCCCTTCCCTCCCCTCCCCTAATTTTTTCATGGAAAATTAATTTTTTATTTTTTTTTTTAAAGAAAACACGGGATCGGTTCAAATTCTTATAGTACTTTGTGTCCGATTTGTGGAATTATTTTTCCATTTAAAAATCGTATGAAAAAACATTTGGAAACGGAACATGGAGAAGAAGAAGTTCCAGACGAATGGAAAAACGTTAAAAAAAAATTATCCCCTGTTTTGTGTAACCTCTGTGGAAAATTACTCACTAATAAATACCTGTTGGCAAAACATATGAAAAAGGTTCACAATCCCGACGTGACGAACGTTGATGAATTCAAATGTGACGTAAGTTTTACCTTTCCCCCCCCGCCCCTTTTCTCTCTCTCTCTCTCTCCAGATTTTTTAGCAGATTTTTTTCCCGTTTCAGGAATGCGGTGAAATATTTAAAAGGAAAAATTCACTTTTAAAACATATGGAAATTCACGAATCACCTCCACGTTTGAAAAATTGCAACGAATGCGGTCAAGAATTTTATTTTACAAAAGATTTAAGGAAACACGTGAGAGAAAAACACGAGACTGATAAACCATTTTCTTGTTCAAAATGTTGGAAAAATTTTAAAGTTTCCGCAAGTTTAAAATATCATTCAACGATTTGTGGCGACAATCACGTGGTAGGAAATTATTTAAAGAAAATACAAAACGAAGAAGAATTTACAAATGGCGGTTATCAATCACTTCCGGTTACGAATCAACCCTGTGCCATGATATACTGGATGTGGAATCAATGATACGAAAGAAAAAAATTCATTCTTATTATTATTATTTAATTTTTGATTGTATAATATCGATCGATCGATCGATAAATTTTTGTTATTAATTAATAATAATTTACAAATAAAATTATTTATTTTATTAAAATTTATTTCGCTTGTAAATTAGTCAACATGCAAAGATCTCTCGCAGCTGCTCTTCTTCCAACAGAAGTTGTTACGTCATATAATCCAGCAATTAATTCTACGCTAACCATATCGGGTAACCAACGTACCAAATTAGGCATCTTAAATAAAAAAAATTGAAATCATTTAAATTAAGAATTTAAAAAAAAAAAAAAAAAAAAAAAAAAATCAATATGTCGGATTCGTTTGTACCAAATTATGTAACGGTTGACCTTGCAAAACCAATCTGGATTTTTCTCGACCGCATTTGACCAACATTTCTAAAAATTTATATACAAAATGTGTTTGCTGTGATATTTCACCGTTTCTGTTTGATATGAGCTGAAACGAGAATCAACATTTTCAAAAAAACCGATGATGATAATGATAATAATAATAATAATAATAATAATAAATAACTACCATGAAAGCGTTAAATAATTCGTTGCAAGCGGATTGTAGTGCCGGAGCCATGGATGGTTGCCTAGAGGGTGAAAAACAAGAATTCGTTCCAAAACCGACCGAGGGTTCTTCGTTATTTAATTTCATGTGTTTTGGTGCCGGATAATACGAATCGTTGTCCTAAACAGAAAAACACGAGTTTAACGATTGGACTTGCGCAACAGCAATTAAAAACTACTTTGGTTGTTGTTGTTGTTGTTGTCATCACATCTTACATCACAATCCACGTCTTTCCTGTTTCTTTTCTTGTTCGATTGGTCTTTTGACGTTGATTGCACGACGGCTATTATGCAATACACGCATATTTTCGCTAATGCGCTCAACTGCGGCTCGACTAGTTCTTCGCATCTAATAAAATTAAATTTTTTTTTTGTAATCATCAATACTCCTACCAAGGGTGGTTTCTTTTAACAAAAACAAAAAAAACCCTTACTGAAGTTTGTTATGTAAATATTGAGGGAGAACTTCCGTCAAAAGGGATAATGTACAATTCATTATGTCGAGGTGAAATAATGCAAAAGCCAAATCGACGGCTCTGTTAAGATCTTCTTGGTACTTATACTGTGTGATTTCCTAAAACAATTTCGAATTTATGGATGATATAAAAGTCAACCTCGTGACAATTTAATCAAACGTTAAACAAATACTTTTATTATTTACCTTAAGAACGTTTGTGACGAACCATGGAGGTCCTCCGGTGTTTAACATGCTTTGAAACTGATGAGTTGCTTCGATGCTCACCCAACCTTGCTTGTGTATTTTACTCCAAACTTTTTCCAATTGCATACTAATCGGCGTGTTGGATATAATTCTTCGAAACAAAATAAAAAATAAAAATCGTTTAGGTTCCACGTGTGCGCGACATATTTATTTCATTTTATTTAATTTTACCCGTGTTGAAGTGATATTTTACTCGTAGTCGACGGATGGATGTTATATTGCATACGCCTGATTATCATGCTCATTAATGCGAATCTTTCGCTTTTAAACGTTTCGTTTGGATCTTCGATGCAGGGAGGTGCTAAAAATTGTTGAACCATGTTCATCGGTTTTAATAAAGCATCTTGGTGTAGTATCTGCATGTAACTGCAAAGCCAAGCCGTGGCACATATGGGTAAGCAACACCATTTCGACCTCATCGAATCTAAAATTCGTTTCACGTCGTTGGCAGATAAAGTCCCTTGTTCCCAGGCCAAAAGTACTTCTTTAATAGCTGCCGGTACGTTAAGGCAAATTTCATTCCACTTAACTTGACTGCGAATACGTATATATTTATTTCAAATCAATTTCCGCCAATAAAAAAAAAAAAAATTTAACTTGTAAAAACAAAAATCTTACCTGGTTTTGAAATCTTCGTTTGAATTAAACTGCGCCAAAAGTGCATCGACTTTCGAATTGTCGGTTAATGCAAGAATGGATTCGGGAGATTTCGGATTTCCTTTTTCCACCATTGATTCCCTCACCCACAACTCGAAAAAACTGTCACCGCCTTCTTCGGATAAAACAACCTGAAAAGTAAAACGATGAAACGTTAACGTAATTTAAAGTGAGTTAAATAAGAGTTCATTTTAAATGGTACGTACCTGAGATCCGTAAATGTTAACAATGGAGCACAACATTAAAAAGCTGACGTCGAAAAGAAGAGCCCTAGTTTGAGATTGTTTGGGTCCTTCCCCATGACCGTACTTGTAAGTTTCATTAAATTTAATTAATTTAGTTACAAACGTTCTTAGTTTTCCATCTACTGCTGCAACCGCAGTAATCAAATCGAAACTTTTTCCCAGAATCGGACAAAGCACCGTTTGTACTCCTTCCTAATTATTTTAAAACGTAAAATAAATTTAAAAAATGGTTTTGAGAAAATTTGTATTCATTGTATTACTTACCATTTTAATATTATCCGCATCAAGCGTTCTCAACAACCTCGCCAGGGTGGGTTCGGCTCTGATTATAACCTTTGGCAAAGGCTGCTGTGAAATATTGCAGTCTTGAATTTTTTGAATCCAACTTGTCATAGATTCTCTAAATAAATAAAAACAATCATGTATACTTAAAACATATTAAAATTTGTAATTGTTAATTATGAAATATGTACACACCTTTTTTCGTTAATATAAGTTACATGTTTACTACTAATTAAATTTACTTTTAACAGTTCGTTTAAAATACATTCGACAAAATTACAATTACATTTACTGTCCATTATATCTAATAAAGGGGTAAGCTGAAGTAACAAATCAAATGAATCTACTATATCCTGAGAATATTCATAACTTTGTGTTGCATCATCTGAAAAATATAAATAATAATCAATAAATGTAATTAATCAAGTCAGTTATATCGATAAATCTGAAAAAAAAGTTTTTTTACCCCTAAGTGTACAGTGAAGCTGTTTAAAAATATTTGGAAGTTTTAAAATGGTAAATGCACCCCAAAGTGACTCTTCTGACGTTCCTAATACACTGTTCAAATTAATCAAACATGCTCTCATTATATCACAGTATAATCTGGGGTTACTGTAACCCTAAAAAAAAAAAAAAAATTATTTTGAAAAATAATAAATTTTATTTTTGTAATACCTTGATTAAAGTAAAAAATATCTCACCTTTAACTTTTGAAGCATTATTAATTTACTAACTAAATAATTTGTTTCACAACCAGGAGCCAGCATAATTTCTACTGCTAGTAAAGGTTGCAAACAATAAGTAACTGGTTCACATTCCGTTTTTATGTTGAGCTCTATATTATGAAGTTTTTGTAAACATGTATCAATTGCTGAAGGAGACCTTAAGGTAGGATTTTGAGAATAAAATTGTTCAATTTCTTTACATTTTTTCAATACTTCAGAGTGAAATTCTGTGAGAGACAATATTTCAATCGATTAAAATTTTAAAAAGTTTATCTACATTTTACTTATTACGATAAACTTCATACAAACCAGTATCCTCATATTTGGCTAGATAAAGCATTGCCATTGTAAAATCACTTGACAACATATTAGTAAGAAGAGTGACACATTTTCCAACAATTTCTTCAAATAAAGGTTGGCTTCCATTTAATGTTTTATTTAAATGATAAATATAACATTGTAGCAACCATAAAATTGTCGATGCAATAGATGTTGCCAAAATTCCTTCTTCAGTTTTCCCTCGACATGTCATTCCCACCTGTAAATATTGAAAAAATTATTTTTATTATTGTAATTAAATGTAATAAGTAAAGTATTTACAATAAAATTAAAACTTACCTGACTTGTTTCTAAGAGTTCTAATAAACTGACAATACAATGTGGCTTATGAAAATTATTGTACTTTGAAATATGTTGAAGTAAAGCAGCATAAGAAATTAATTGACTGCTTAGAGAATGTTTTAGATAAGATAAAACTAAATGATTCGGACCTGGACCTATTAAAGCTTGTTGCAAAATACAATCTGCCAAATTGTACACATCTCCAGATACTCCTCTGGGTAAAATCTTAAAAAAAGTTATAAAATGTACATAATTTTTTTGAAATAAGATATATTTTGGTTTAAAAATAAAATTACCATTTTGATATGAATTCCCCATTGTAAATCTGTCCATCTTTCCCTCCAAGCTTTCAATAATAAAGCTTTTATGCTAGAGGTTTTACTTGTGACTTTACTTAACTCCATAGTGACCATTGTGTCACAAACTAAAAAATATAAAAATTTATTAACTATTATTTATTTTACAAAATCATTTTTTAAAAATAATGTAGCACTTTAAATTAATTCAAAAAACTAGATATTTTGGCAATGTAAATTTTTAGTAGGTCTACTGATTTTAAATTACATTATCACTAAAGAAGTAATATTAAATTTTATTAAACTAAAAAAAAAAAAAAAACTAATCCTATTAAACGAACTGAAATATCCAGTAAAAATTAATAAACTATTATTGATTGTTAATTATTTTAAAAAATGATTTTATATTACCTGATCATTGTTTACAAATTATAAGCTCCAGGATAGAACACCATTAGGCGTCTTTCAAATGACGTATCATTTGTCGTGGGATTAGATTGCAACTTAAAGTAAATTACTACTGTTAAAACTTTTAATTTTTTTAAACTTTTTATTTAATTATTCTACAGTTTTTTTGTATTTACATAATTATGAGCTCCGATAATCCCGAACCTTCTTCTTCTAAAGCTGCAGAAGTACCTCCTGAACCTCAAATACATGTCAAAGCTAGTGGAAATGCTATTTTAGTTAGTCCCCGACAGGTATTTAAAGTAATTAAAAATAATTTTTAATTTTATTGCTCTCTAAATTCGATTATTTTTTTTTTTTTCGTATAGAGAGGAAATCCACTACTCAAATACATCACACACGTACCTTGGGAATTTGATGACAGAATGTTGGCAGATTATGTTATGGGTCAGACAACTTGTGCTTTATATTTGTCTGTTAGATATCATAATCTTAATCCAGATTATATACATGATCGTCTAAAAATTTTAGGAAAAAACTATCTGCTTCGTGTATTACTAGTAATGGTATTGAGATATAATTTTAGTTTATTTGATATAGTGGTATTCTTATTACAAGATTGTAAAAAAATTACTTATTATTATTTCCAGGTAGATATTAAAGACCCTCATCATGCGATAAAAACATTAACGAGAATATCAATTTTGGCAAATTTGACCATAATGCTTTGCAGAAGTTCAGAAGAAGCTGGTAAAATTATTGAAAGATATAAAATTTATCAAAATAAGCCTCCAGATCTTATAATGGAAAAAAAAGAGGCAGATCCTTATTCCAGAGTGAGTATCAAACTATAATTTTATGTTAAATTTTTTAAACACCAAAAATCATAATTTTGATTATGTTTTTCTTTTAGATTATGTCTGCATTGATAACAATTCGATCAATTAACAAGACTGATGCGACAATTTTGTTGTCAACTTATGGTACACTCAGAGGAATATTAAAAGCCTCAGAAAATAGTTTATCGTTGTGTCCTGGAATAGGTCCACAAAAAGCATCGAGATTATATAAAACCCTTCATGAATCATTTTTGAAAGGAGATTTAAATGTAAGTCCATCGAAAAGAAAAAAATAAATATTTTATTTACATAATTCACATTAAAAAAATTACAATAATATTCTTATACAAACTTAAAATTGTACAGTATAAAAAAAAAATTAATAAATAATAATAAACACATATATTTTGAATTAATTTTTATAACCTGTGCGATAGTGTCGACAACGTTTTACCAAATCAAATTTTCTATACCTTAAACAATGCCATTGTGGTATATCTCTCATGTTGTTAATAATCTACAGAGACAAAAAGAACAAAAATTGACATTCGATCACCTTTTAGAAAATATCAATTAGAAAAATTTACAAAATTACCTGTTGCGAATTGGACACTACTTGAGAATTTCCAACATTAATAATCAAAAAAAATATTGTTGACATTAATAGAAAGCACATTGAATAAACTTTCATTTTGAAATTATTTAAACGACAGAATTTCAACACCGTATTATTATTATTATTATTCTAAAAATAATAAATTTTTCCCCGTTTGTTAATATTCATCTCAGGGCAACAAATTTATCAAATAACACATTCGTATACTACAAATCACAAATTTAAAATACAAAAAAAAAATATACTTACGTGATGAAACAACCCCGACAGTTTCTTAAGCAAAGATAAAGCAAACAATTGAAAAATTTTAACTTATATAACTTAGGTTGGTTGTTCCATCATCTAATTATACCTCATCAAAAACTATTTTTTTAAATTACTCACAACCGCCTTAAATAAAAAAAACCGCCTAAAAAATTTCCCTCGCCCCCCGCCCTCCGTTCCCCCTCTACAAAAAAAATACTCGTAAATTTGTAGGAGTTTAATAAAAAAAAAACCGTCAAAATAAAAACCGTTACACAAAATATATACATCATCCATTATAATAATAATATAAAATAAAATATAAAAAAAAAAAAAAAAACGTTTTTTTCTTAATAAATTTAAATGGGGCGTTTTGAAAAGAGGTCAAAATGAAGAAAAGTCACACGTGGATATCACGTGGAAGTAATTGTAACCAATTTTTTATTCCCTAATTGAAAATAATTTAAACGTTCTAAATTTTTTTTTCTTTTTTTTTTTTTTTTTTTTTTTTTTTATTTACGCGTGTCAAAAACGGTTACGATAAAAAAATTTAACCCCCTCCCCTTCCCCCGCCTCCCCGACTTATTTTTCCACGGTTTAAAATAAATTAATAATAATAATGATAATAATTAGAAGAAATTATAAAAAACTTTATTATTATGAAAAATATTTTTACAAGTATCAAAACAATCCGATTATTATTATTATTATTACCTTCCACGTAAAAGTTTTTCTTTTTCCACGTTTTTTTTTGTAACGGTCAATTCGGTCGTTAAAGACGTTGTGTGATAACTTGATCTAAATAATTCCAACTGCAACTATAATCAATTTTAAGATGTCCATAATTAGTCATAGTATATCTACCTGTTGGCCCATTGTTTAAACATTGTTCGATTGGATCCATTGTAAAACCATCTTGAATTTCCGATCTGTTATTCCTTATTAAAAAAATAATAATAATAATTAATAATAATAATACTGATAAATTTCTTTTTTTTTCATTATTTTCTCTTCGTGAATTTTTCACGCAAACAAACCGAAAAAGTGAAATCGAATCAAAAAATGTAAAAATGGCGTCCAGAAAATAAATCGTGGTTAGAGGATAAGGAAAACTCACAAACGAAATTTAACTTTCCCATTTTTTATCATTATTATCATTAATAATAATAATAATTAGGGTTTTTTTTTTTTACGGAATAATGATTTATGTAATTATTGTTTATTAAAATCATTCAATCATCATCATCATCATCATCAGCTAATAATTTAAATTTTTATAAACAATAAGAAAAATTTGTTTTTCTTTTGTAAAATTTTTACGGTTGGTAATATTTAAATTAATGGTATCGCTTTCGTAAATTTATTATTATTATTATTATTTGTTTAAACAAAAAAAAATAAAATAGAATTGCGTTTTTTTTTAATTGTATTAATTAAGGAAATTTTTTTTTTGTTTTTCATTATTCGTTACAAAGAATGAACATTTTCGTTTTTGTTAAAAAATTATCAGTATCGATACTAAATAATAATAATAATAGTAAAGACGATGATGATGATGATAATAATAATAAAAGTGGAAAAACACGAATTTTATTCACGTGATTACGTTTTCCCGTGTAGAAATTTAAAGAAAAAAATAATAATGATGATAAAAAATTTTGCAACAAAAGATTTAAACGATTTCATTTCATATTAAATATGGAAAAGGTAGAGTTGTAAGAAAGAGAGAGAGAGAGAGAAAGGGAGAGATTGGGAAAGACTGGGAAAAACAAGGGGAGAAAAAGAGAGAGAGAGACTGGGAAAGATAGGAGGAGAGAAAGAGAGCGAGAGACAGTGGAAGAGATGAGAGAGACAGAGAGAGAGAGAAAGAGAGAGAGAGAGAGAGAGAAAGAGAGAGAGAGAGAGAGAAAGAGAGAGAGAGAGAGAGAGAGAGAAAGAGAGAGAGAGAGAGAGAAAGAGAGAGAGAGAGAGAGAGAGAGAACAAAAATGGATGCTGGAAAAACGAAAAAAAAAAAAAATTTTTTTAAATGATTTGAAATGAATAAAAATTTTTTACTTTTACTACTACGCCGATTAATGATTCGACATTTTTACTATCATTATTATCATTATTATTATTATTATTATCATTATTATTTCAATTTAAATTTCTATTTCATTAAAATAAAAATAAAAGTCATAATAATTTATTTATGATGAAATTGAATGATCATCATAATCATAATAATAATTATTTTGTTTAATTTCAACGATTTCGAGTGAAAATATTTATTTTCTTCTGCTTTTTTTTTATTTATCTTCTGCTATTTCTTCTCCTAAATTTTAATTAACAAAAAATAATAATAATAATGTAACATTAATTTTCTTTTACTACGCATTAACTCGTTCGAATTAAACTTGCAACCGGAAATCATTATTATTATTATTGTTTGTTTGTTTTCGGTTGATAAAAATGTAAAAAAAAAATAACGAAAATTTTTTCTAGTGACACGTACCTGTAATTATTTTTCCCATAAATATTCGTCGTTATTTCCGGTAAAAACATTTTTTCCCTTTTCCCAGGATTTTCGTAAACGTAAACAAGGGAAGAAGATCGGGATAGAGAATCCGAAGAGGATTGAAGGAGGACTTCGTTATTAAATGACACGTTTAATCCGACCCTGTTACATTTATTATCCGGATTAAGTAAAATACCTTTTTCAGTCTTTCTTATTGGTTTTTTCGGTACGTCAACGGATAAATTACTCATAGATTTTCTAAAATTAACCGTTTCATCCGTTTCCTGTTCGGGTATGACTTCCGTCGTCAACGTCATTTCCGGTTTTAATTTATCGATATAGGGTGATGTATTTATCATAGATTTCCTACGTTCGATTTTAACGATTTTAAAATCCGAATCATTTTTCCATTGTCCACCGCCGCCATCTTGAAACGATTTACGACGATTTAATTTTGTTTTAACCACGTCTCCGGATGTTTTCCCATCGTTAAATTTTATATATTTTTCCGTTGAATATTTTCTGTTGTTGTAAGGCAACGTGTCGATTTCTAAATAATTATAAGAATCCGGATGAAAACTAACGGATGCTCGCCTTTTTAATTTACACGTCGGCATGTAAACGTTCGATATGTCTTTTATTATTGATGGCGGAAGGTACGTATGATAATCCTGATTGTTGTACCTAGATCTTTCCGATTGTCTTGACGGATTATTCGAATCCTCTGTAAAAATTTTTAACAAATAATAATAATAATAATAAACAATTTTTTAAAAATTTTTATTACGTAACGCCGGGCGTAACGGTTACTTTTTTTTTTTTTTTAAATTGATTTCGACTTGTTTATTGAATTATTAATGATCGAATTAAGGAAATTAAAAATTTAATTAATTATTAACGCTTCGGGCTTTTAATCGGTTTTGTTTTTTCACTAAAAAACTGGTTCAAATAATTTTAAATTTAATTAATAAACGTTAGTTGATACAAATCCGCCATTTTGTTTTTAATATATATATAGGTTTTAAAATGACTGAATTGAATTGTCAAAAAAAAAAACGTTTTTAAAACGGAAACTCATCACTTTTCATCAATCGTAACTAACGCATATATGCAAAAACGTGTCTTTGAATAATAATAATAATAATAATAATAATAATAATAATAATAATAATAATAACGAACTGTTGTAGTCTACGTACACGATAAATGTTATACATTTTTTTGACCTATGATCTTGTTTACGGAAGGCGTGGCATTGACATTTTAAATAATATTATTATTTATTTATTTTTTTCTCACGCTTTCGATTTCGAAGAAAGGAATTCCCTTTAAAACAAACGTTGTTTGTTTGTTTGTTTGTTTGTTTGTTTATTATAATTAATCGAATTTGCAAATCTCTATGATAAAAAAAAAAAAAAAAAATGAAAATCGAAAAATTGCGTTAACAAAATGATTATTCTAAGTTAATGATAATAAAAAACGAGATTCGATTTTTTTTAAATTACAGAAAAAAAAAAGTTGATTTGAAAGTTAACCAACTTTAAAAAAAAAAAAAAAAACTAGTATTTAAATAAAAAAAAAA